GGGGGGGGATTTGGAAAAGATGATGAGCGAGCCTTGGGCGCGGAAATGGGGCCACGCTTGCCGACTACGCCGGGTCAGGGGTGAGCGGGGAAAGAAGCAGCGGGATGACAAATGAGGTTAAAGGGCCAGAAGCAGGGTGCAGCAGCTGGTACGCGCCAGGGAAGACAAGATGGATAGGGATCCGAGGCGGTGGCAGGCAGCGCAGACAGGCAGCAGGCAGGCAAGCAGGCAGGCAAGCAGGCCGAGGGCGGACATCCCCGGAGCCGCAAAATCGGGATGGAGCGAGGGGCCAGGTCCAGCGGTCAAGGGTGGAGGAGGAATGTGCGCGTGCTTGCTTGTCCACATCGGCGCGCAGCCGGGCATCGCAACGGTGGCCGATGATGCAGGGGCGGGGGCTAAAGCAGGAAAGGGGTCGTTGGAAGGAGGTGTGGAAGGAGTCATGGTGTCATGGTGTCATGGAAGCACGTTGAGCACGCGTGGATTTTCAGGGCGCATACCTCGATGGGAAAGCCCGCTGGGCCCGGGGTTGCAGTCTGTAATTTCCAGATGCTCGTCGGCAGCAAAAGCGAGTATTGCTGCGGGAGAAGGCAAAGGGTCGAGAAAAGCTGATCGAGGTCGGGCCCGCACCGCACAGACGCTGGGTGGGGAGGGAGGCAGCGGTTATGAGAGATGGGCGCCGGGGCAGCCAGCCAACAGCACAGGTACCGTCCACGGCGACAACTGGATCCCACCAGACGCCCAAACAAGACACCCAGACACCCCTCCGACAAGTCACCCCCGGAGAAACACTCGAGCTGGCCCAGTGGGCGACACACTGGATCTGTGGGACACGGTGCGCGGCGGGAGCGAAGGGTGGCGCCTTTCACAGGGGCCGGGGCCGTGGTCGTGGCGACGAGAGTGAGGCGACTGTGTTTTTGTCGGCCGCACCGATGTTTTTTTGGTGGCAACGAGGGTCGAAGGGCGCAGCGAGAAGAAAGGGAAACGGTTGCGCGGCCCGCCTTCAATGCGGTTGAGGCTGGCGGGCAAAGCGAGCGGTTGGCGGCTCTGCCAGACCCCTACTACTCAGGCTCCAGCCCCCGTGGCTTTCAGGCTCATGGCACCCAGCATGAAACCTCCAGACGGGCGCGTTCTTGACAGGTGCCTTTTGGGAGAATACGACTAGCTCCAAACTCTTGACCTTTTGCAAAAGGGCTGGCTGGCGGCTATGGCAGGATGAATTGAGCAATCGAATTGAGCGCATGGCGGGGTGACCCAGGCAGGGCTCGCTCACCAATCACACATTTCCAGCCAGTCGGGAAGCGAATCGAGGAGCCTCGCGAGCACGAGCGTTGCGTTGGTTGATTTTGTCGGCGCACCCCACCCTTGGTCAGTGGAGTTGGATGGAGTCGAATGGAGCGGCCTGCCGCCGCGGCTTCTGGTTGGCTAGCGGGCCGCCTCACACGCAAAATGTCACACACACGGTCTGCACGCCTGGCCCTTCTGCGCATCACAGGAGAGGGAGCCCACCTCTGTTGCACCGGCCGATCGTGTAAAGACGGGGGGCCATCCGAGTGGAAACGCGGTCTTTCAATGTCGTATCTGTATCGCATACGAAGCCGGGTCGTTGTGTTCCTGCGACGTGCAGAGACAAACACCCTCGCACCGCCGTTGTGCCTCGATTCCCTGAGAACATAACCATGTGGGTAATTACCAGGGAGGTACCCTTGAGAGTGTGTCTCGGTGTAGGTGCCGATAAGCCCCTAGATACCAGCACGCGTGGCGCAGTCGCTACCCAGAAAGGCAGAGCCGCCTTGTCCGGGTCCTCCGGGCCACGCGACAATTTCCCGTCGTGTGGATAGAAGAACGAGAGAGACCCATGGCCCCCCGTCAACCCTCCCGACGGGTCGGAACACCGCGTTCCCGTTCATAACAAATTGTGATTGCCATTTTGTGCGCAATCTGTCCCCCCGTCTCATTACGCTGGTTGTTGCATCACACCGACCGGTATTTCCGTTACCGGGTACGCAGCATTGACGCCAGGTGGGTGGGGAGCATTGGCGGATCAGCCCAGGGCCACCCACCTCGGTGCGGCAGTGACAGCGCCACGAGCTACCTAGTGCCAACAACGAACGACTCGAGTCCACTGTTGGTGATGGAGCGAACACGAGCCTTGCCAGGTGGTAGGTTCTTCGTGATGACAGGGAACAAGGAAGGATAAGCCGCGAGGCTCACTGATTCATCTCGCACCCCCAGCCTGCGCAATATCACCTGTGCACAAATTACCTAGAGGTAAGGGCCTACTTCATTCCTTCATTCCCTTGTTCCTGGTAACTCGCGGGAAGGTTGTCGTCCTGTCTCACTCTCCTCCACCGCACATCTTTGTGGGAATTTGCTATCGTCCTGCAGGAACCTCGCGACGGGGCACACGTTGCGCAAGCGCCCCTCTCAAAACATGAAGGGCGGGCAAGCCCTCCGCGCCTCCCCGACGCCACGTCGGTGTCCCGGAACGTGGCGGACAGGGATGCCTTGGGACGAACCGCTAAGGGCGGCGTTCCCTGACGCGAAGGGGAGGGGCGGATCGGCGCCCGTCCAAGGAAACTTCGCGTTCGCCATCATGGCTCGAGTGCCGTCGAGGTGCCGGCTCGCAGATCCTTTTCCTTTCGGCCAACCGCGTGTTTTTTTCCCCCCCAAGGTACTTCTTTTGTCCAATATTCAGGCCAGCAACCGCAATGACTCTGGAGGCCAAGGTATGTATATCAACTCCACCTAACCCAGCCACGCCATGCGGTTTGTACCGAAACGCATCCTTCTCTTGTCAGAGGGGCCCGGCGAACCATGGTTTGGTTCATATTAGCGTCGACATAGATCCTGCCCTCGCTCGGACGCCTGGGCCCGGCACCCACGGGGCCGACTCTTGACGGCGCTCGCGGAGCGCTTCAAACTGCGACAAATGAGGGGCGAGGTTCGCTCCTTGATGCGGGGTTGATAGATTGTGCTTCTTCTTTTTTTCTCTATCAGCACTAGCTCTGGTCCCGTTCGATGTTTCGCATGACTCTGCGTCGCTAGATCCCGAGAATCGGCTGTCGGCATTACGACAGCCTACAGGCGGGGTAGTGGGTGCGTTGTGTTCGGTGATGAACGGTAGGACCGAGGGCTTAGCATGGACGCTACCTCTTCAAAGCTCGGTCGGTTCGATCGCGCACCGCTCGTCACTCGGGCTTGCTTGACTAGCAACCTCCCTCGGCTTGGAAACCGGGAGCTTTCCATCCTTGAAAACCCGGGCGAGGCCCTTGCCTGCCTGCCGTCTCTATCTGCCTTACGAGCAGCCACGACTCGCCGATTCGTCCGGTGCCAGTGATGATACGTCAACTGCAAGGTGGCCGAGGTGGCGGGCGCAGCAATTCCAGGGGTCTTGCGTGCAGACCCGGGCAAGCGCAGCGTCGTTCAAGCGGGGAAAGACACTATGCACGCAAGAGAAGGCGGTGTTGTATCCCAGCCCGCCTCGTACGGTAGGACTTAGTGCCCTTGCGGAGCTCCAAGCGCGGAGTCTTTTTTTAGTATAGGACTAGAAAACCTTGTTGACAGTAGTAGTATGCGCATCAAGTCCCTCTCCTCTGGGATAACATTCACATGCAAGAGCTTTTGTGGATATTTTATCTTTTCCCAATAGAATTTGCCCGGGGCTATTTACCATAGCTCCTAGAATCAAGATTTTCCGCTCATTAAATCAAAAACCAAGCACCAATTTAATTATCCCTCTCCTAACCCCCTCAAGCAGCAGAGGTCTTGTCCTTGGACAGAGGGGTGAAGCGCAGGTACGGCTTGACGGCGCGGAACTCGGGGAACTTCTCCTTGGCCTGTTCGTCCTTGATGCTGGGGTGGACGATGACGTCGTCGCCGGGGACCCAGTTGATCGGGGTCGTCACCGTCCACTTGTCGCCCGTCTGGAGCGAGTCGACGATGCGGAGCACCTCGGCCGAGTTGCGGCCCGTCGAGGCCGGGTACGACAGGATCGTCCGGATCTTCTTCTTGGGGTCGATGATGTAGACGGAGCGGATGGTGAAGGCGATGCCCTTCTCGTCGACGTTGGTGGTGTCCTGGTAGTCGATCCTAGTTTGGGGGGGGGGAGGCATGTCAGCATGGAACAGCCATCTTTGCCCATTCATCACCCCTTTCTTGTCCAAACTCACATGTCATAGAGAAAGGCAACCTTGCGCTCCTTGTCAGCGATGATGGGGAAGGCGACGGTGGAGCCGGTGACGTCGTTGATGTCCTTGATCCAGCCCTCGTGGCTGCCCACCGTGTTGGCGGATAGACCGATAAGCTTGACGCCGCGCTTCTTGAACTCGGGCTCGAGGCGGGCGAACTCGCCGAGCTCGGTGGTGCAGACCGGGGTGAAGTCCTCGGGGTGCGAGAACAGGATCACCCAGTTGTCGCCGATGAACTCGTGGAAGTCGATGGGGCCGGTCGTGGTCTCGGCCTTGAAGTTGGGGGCAGTGTAGCCCAGGCGGAGGCTGTCGGGGGAGCCAGCAGGTCAGCCACCGTGGCTGAATCCGGAGCAGTGTTTCAAACTAGATGGTACGGTACTTACGGGTCGGGGCGAGGGTCAGACATTGTGAAGTTGGGGTGATGGAGATGGTCTGGTGTTGTTTAGAAAGATTCGAGAGAGAAGATGCGAGCGGTATAAAGCAAAGGGTATCACGAAAAGCAGACGGAGCGTAGTGGAAACTCAAGAGGACAGGTGGGTGGAGGGGAACACAACGTGCGAGTCCATGTTTTATATGTCCTGCAGGGAGGGGTGCCCAAGATCCAATGTCGACAGCAAAGCCACATCACTCCGCGCTTTCTAGCGCAGCCTCACCCTCACCCTCACAGTCTGGCCCCATCATTTCTATGCTAATCCGACGCCTTCCCTCTTAGCAAAGGCATGTTGGAGGCACATTACGTTTCGTCATCCGCCAAAAGGCAGTCGGCCGCCCCTCGAAAGCCCGACAGCCTCTCGAGCACAGGAAGTCGGGGCGGCCTTTGTCAGCGGGAGGGCTCTCTCGAGCCAGTGACGCGATCCAATTGCTTTCCCCTCCGATGCGGGGTTATACGCCCCCCACCCACCTTATTGGCCACCAAGCGCGCACGCAAGACAGCTTCTGGAGCACGCATCTTGTGGCGTTTGCAAAGTGAGGCGGGCATTGGAGCTTCGCTTATGGTGATTGCCTATTGGGGGTTAAGGTAAACGGGGCTGACTCGAATGGTGGCAAGAGGTATATCTTGTGACACTTTACCCCGACTGCATGCATATCAGGCTAGTGTCGTGACCTGGTGTGTACCTACAAGTCGGCCGGCAGTATGAGGTTTCCCCTCACGGACAAGCTGCGAGAGTGTCTCAATCTAACAATGAATGCCTGCGATAGACACGCATTGTACCATTCCAACCAAAGACCACCGAAGTTAGCTCCAGAACAAGAGCGGATGAGAAATTATGAGAACAAAGCACAATGCCGCCCGCTGAGATGGGCTCCTAAACACCGCAGCACCGCAACCCCCGAGGCCCTGTCCAGCTGCGGACAGGATGCAAGAAAGAAGAAGAGGCGAAACCTTTGTGATAAAAGACGAGAGCAACAGGAAACACCAAGCCACCACTCACACACTCTCTCTCTCCTCAGAGCCTCACATCGCCCTTGCTCAGCTTCGCCCAGTCCGCGGGCGTGAAGGGCACGTACGTGCCGTCCCTCAGCCAGTAGATCTGGTCGCCGCCCGTCTTGGCCGGGTCTACGCCCTCCTCGCGCATTCCGTGCTTCTGCTGTTTGTTGGTGCCGGTGGACTGCATCTCGCCCACGATCCGCAGGAACACGGGGACGGCGAACTTGGGCAGGGAGCGGCCCGCGTACTCGGCGAGGTCTCTCAGCACCTCGGGCGCCACGCCGCCGCCGCCGCCGCCGCCGCCGCCGTCCATAATCAGCGCCGCGCAGCCGGCCCGGCCCTCGGCGTGCGGCACGCTCACGCCGTAGACGTTGGCCTCGCGCACGGCGTCGTGGTGGCCCAGCGCGACGGCCACCTCCTGCGTCGACACGTTCTCGCTCTTCCAGCGGAACGTGTCGCCGATGCGATCGTGGAAGAAGAGGAGGCCGTCGGCGTCGAAGCGCATCACGTCGCCCGTCCGCAGCCACGCGTCCCCCTTGGAGAAGGCGTCGCGCAGGATCTTGGACTCGGTCGCCTTGGCGTCGCCGTAGTAGCCCTGGAACCGCTGCGCCATGTCGTCGCCGGGAGGGACCTTGAGCAGGAATTCGCCCGGGTCGCCCGCGCTCGTGCGCCGGCAGAAGCCCGTCTTGGGGTCGCGCCACGGCTGGTCCGTGTCAAAGTCCACCTCCACAAAGGCGATGGCCGACCACATCAGGAGCCGGTAGATCCATCCATTGCGCCCGACCGCGCCCAGGGAGAAGTCGTTCTTGCTGATGTTGTAGGTCGCGAAGGAGCCCTCGGTGGCGCCGTAGAACTCGACAATGGTCTCGATCCCGAACCGCTCCTTGAACATCTTCCAGACGTCGGGCCGCAGCCCGTTGCCGTGGGCGACGCGGACCTTGTGGACCCTGTCCATGTCCTGGCCCGTGGCCGGGTCGTGCTGCTTGGGCGCGGTCAAAAGGTACCGGCACGTCTCGCCGACGTACTGGATCATGGTGGCTTCCAAGTGGCGCACATCGTCCCAAAAGTGGGACACGGAGAACTTGCGTCCGATAGCCAGAGTCGCGCCTCGGGTAAGCACCGGAGACAGGCCCATGATTATGGCGGTGGAGTGATAGAGGGGCATGCACTGTCCGGATCCGTCAGTTTTGCCAATTTATTTCTACAGATGGGGGTATGTCGGGAAGGCTGAGTTGAACGCACCGTGTAGTACACGTCCGTCACTTTCATGTTGAGGAGGCCTCCCGTAAACCCTCCGGCAACAGTCATCTTCGCCCAACCAACTACGGCCGCCTTGGGGAGACCGGTGGTGCCCGATGTGTAGATAAGGAGTCCCATGGCGGCCTCGCCCTCGGTCTCGTGCCGGACCTCATCCGGGAGACGCACGGGCTCAGCGGCGTTGGCCTCGGCTTCCAGCTCCGGGCCGAACACCTCGAAGCGCGTGTCCGGAAGAGCGCGACGAAGCTCGTCCGTGAGCGCATCGGCGACTGCAGGGTCGACGATACAGAGGGCCGTCTTGGCCGCCGAGACGCAGTGCAGCAGAGGCTTGTCCCTCAGGTTGTAGTTGATGAGGGCGGGCTTGGCGCCGATGGCCCAGAGGCCGAAGATTAACAAGATGTACTTGTCCGAGTTCATGAAGTCGACGGCCACGACATCGCCCTTCTTGACGCCAAAGCTCTTCCGCATCCACTCGCCATAGCGGAGGGCGAGCGTGTACACCTCGGCGTAGGTGTGGGAGTTGTCGCCAAAGCGGATGAAGGTGCGGTTCGCCGAGGTCGAGTCCTTGGCGCGAGCCTCGAGCTTGTAGAACAGGTTCAGCTTGCCCGTGTAACAGTTGTAGCGCATGCCGGCCACGACGGGTACGATGGTCGTCACCAACATCAAGTCGTACCAGATAGCCGCCCTCGCATTGAGGTAAGCGAGGCCGGCTGACGCCGCAAGCGCCAAGGGCACTGGTTGTCGATGCATGGTCAGATATGTCGTTGTGAAAAAAGAAGCATCGGGGATTGCAACGCAATACCAGTCGCATATCGACCCGAGGTCGTTACGGGAGAGAGTTGCAGCTAGCTGGGAGGAGAGGATGTTGAGGGTGATCTCAAAAGGGACGTCAGATGCGACTTACCAGGCCCAGGCATCTTAAATAACTACTACTACTTGGGTAGATAATCCTTGTGTTTGTTCCGGGTACCGAGGCAAGAGATACGAAAATTAAAATGGGCTGTCAAAATTTCTCGTGGTTGCGTGGTCTGAACGTGATGGGTTGTGGGTGATGGAGTGACAAGAAAGTAGGTCATGCAGCTCGAGTCACAACCAAATGGAGGGATTCGAGATGCGCCGAGGAGCGGTGACGGGCAGGCAGCACGTCAATCCTCGATTGCGCGCCTAGGTAGACTCGTCGAACAGCAGCAGATCGGATCTGCGAAGCTGCACGAGAGCTAGTTTCTTTGGTCGGAGAAAACGGACGTGGCCGTCGGACTCGTCTGGGCCTGACGAGTCTGGCAGCGTTAGTCCCAAGTCGAGCTGGCGGATGGGTAGGCCGGCCTTTTTGGGTGTCGGCGGCGAGGAGCGGGAATAAGGGAACCCAAGAGCCAGGATTCCAGGTACATTCACGAGGCCGCACGGATGGTGGAAACGAGCTGCGAGGCTCTTGAGCTATGACCATGGGTGTTCCGGGAAATGGCATAAATGAACCATAAAGATAAAGGTGGAAGTGGGTAGAAGGAAAGGGTGGATAGGAAACTACAAAACCTCACTTTGACAGCACAGGCGGGCCGGGCCTTATACGGCACTTGCATAGGCCTCCCCTCACCAGCTCGCGAGAAAATGTGCAACAGGGACGTTGATGGCGAGGGACCTACCTACCTTGGACGTGTGGCGTGCCTTGGCATCGAGGGCCCAATCGCGGTGCTTGGCAGCCCCAGGCGGTGATGATGTGCATTGATATTTTGAGATTGTTACCGCACCACTGTCAAAGAAACTGGGTGCCAGGAGTGCGACACTTGGGACGAAAGTAACCATTGTGGTGGATGCAACGCCAAGGCCGCCGTCTTTACTGTTTCAAGCGAGGGCCCGGTTACCGCTCAGTATTGGTATGGGGCAGTTTTGGGATGTATTGTTTGAAGCCGAGGCACGTTGAATATGGAGAGCGGTTACGTTAGGGTATTTATACGTTTTACGTCGTACAGCGTAGCACGCACACTCAGGTCATTATTTGGCCCGCAGAAAACGGAGGGGAAACAGTGAGGTTCACGTGAAGCCGAAAATGGGGCATGCAAGAGTTGAGAGTTGGAGATGGTCGACTCCAAGCCAGAAGCCGTAGCGGCTAGCGATCATGGCGAGGGGAAGTCGGGGGTGCTTGTCCAAGACTGGGGACCCAGCATTTCCGCCCGGCTGTCCAGATCCGGGCAGCATGGCGTGACGGGAGAGAAGGAAGTACAGAAGAATGCGGGGTGGGCTGGGTGCCTGGCATTTGAAGCGATAAAGGCTTGGCGCGTTCTTGCCCCTAGGTTTCATTGTCGCGTCACACGTGACCCCTCACGTATTGTGCGGTCCAGACCAATTCAATTGACCCAGCGGAGTGGGTGGGGCGTGGCCCCTGTCCACGGGGAGCTGTGAGGTCGTCGTGCGCACTCTGTCATGACTGCCGCCAGCAGCGCAGTGTGGCTTCCGTCCCGACCATCTACCCGACGACGCCACCTCACCGCCGACCGTTGCAACACCATCGACACCGCCGCCGCCGCCGCCGCCGCCGATCCGAGCCAGAGCCCGAGCTGCGGGAAATGCCGCCATGTCGGCGAGAAATCGGAAGCCCACTCAGCCCGGGAGCGGCAATGAAGCCGCTGGCAGTGACGCCGCCGCCGAGGTGACAGCCGCCACGGCGCCCGCCGAGCAGGGGGATGCTGCTTCAGGCTCCGCCTCGCCCGGCGCACGAAAAGAACCGCCGCCCGAGAAGCCGGCCGATGCGCGGCGGCGCACACACGTTGTTCTGTCGTTCTGGGCCCTCATACTCACCTTTGGCCTGCCAATATGGTGGCATACCACGTCCATCTACCGCGCGAATCTTCCCTTGAACGACATGATGGACTGGGCTGAGGGCAGGGTGCGTGTCGACTCCACATAATCACCGGGTATGCCTATGGGATCACTAACAGACTCGGTTTCCTCATGTAGGCATGTCGTCCCGTGTTCCCTCTCACAGTGGCCCTCGATACGGGCTCTCTGCCAGACAGCGAAGCTCAGGCTCTCCTCCAACAAACACAACAAACTCTCGACGCCATGGGCAGCTCTTCCGGCCACCAACTTCGCCTGGAGTCTGCCAGGCAGTCTAAGGCTGGGGATGACAGGATCGCGCTGACCGTCCGCCTCGCGCCTGGGGAGACCAGAGCCGGCTCTCTGCACCCAGAGCAGCCCGTGCTCGATGTCGTTTACACGTCCGACACAAAATCCGACCCCACTTCACTATCGACCTTTGTCGCCGAACAGCTGCGCTCAACCTTCGCAGAGGAACGGGTCATCGTCTCCAACCTCATCTCCGAGGCCGCCGTTTTCCCCGACGACCAGCAGCGGCAGCAGCATCAGGAGGAGCAGCGGCTTGAGGACCCGGAGGTTGCCGCAACAGTGGGCAAGCGCTCGGCGCGGTCCGTCAGGTACTCGCCGACCTACCACCTCACCTTTTCCCTCTTCACGGCTGGCTCCACCCCAAGCGGCTGGGATATCGATGCGGCTATCAAACAGTACATGCGCCCCTTCCTCAACGTTCTCGGGCCGATCCATAACTTTACGATCGACACTCAGATCCAGCTGTATGCTGCTCCTGGAGTGCAATCGGAACTTCTTAGCAAGGAGGATTTGTCCTCGTTTATCAACGCTGCTGAGTGGCCTCTATCGCCCTCCATCGGCGGTGCACCGACCATCAATTTCATCATTTATGTCGGCAGCCAAACCATCGCCCTTGACGGCACCTCTACCCCTGAATCCGGGGCGGAAACGATAGCGCAAAAGCCCACCTCCCAATCCTGGCTCATCCCCCAATGGGGCACCGTATACCTGCTGCCCCCAACATCCGACTCATCGACAAATGTGGCAGTCGATGCCCTCCGCACCCCGATGCTAACCTTCAGCTCGCACCTCCTGTTACTCCTGGGGACGCCCCAGTCGGGCTCCCTGCCGCTGCGGCTCTCGACGCTGTCACGCGTCAGAGCTGCGGATCTGGTACTCCGAGCTTCGTCAACGCTGGGCTCGCTAGCGCGCCTGTCGCGGGCCCTCCCCGGGATAGCCATCCCGCGGTCCGTCGCCGAGGGGGTCTCGGCCACCATGGCGCACCTCCGACTGGCTTGCGACGGCCTCGGCACGCCGCAGGGGCTGGCGCACGCGCGGGTCGCCGAGGCGGCCGCCGAGCGCGCCTTCTTCGAGAAGAGCATGGTCGGGCAGCTCTACTTCCCGGACGAGCACAAGGTCGCCGTCTACCTGCCGCTCCTCGGCCCCATCGGCGTCCCGCTCGTGATGAGCCTGCTGAACGAGTTCAAGGCGTGGCGGAAGCGCAGGCGCGAGGCTGCAACAGCAAAGGCCAAGAAGACGGAGTGAAGGATTTGGGTTAGGGTTCGTTTGTATGGCGGATAGCTGCTGTTGCCTGACAGCGGATATGTAAGAACAGGACAGAAAAGGATAGAAAACTCGGTTTCAATGACAGAAGAACACCAGATGGTGATGGTGGCTCGGTGTGTGGGGGTCATGGTGCTGGTGTGCTTTTGGCTGATGCCCTTTGCTTGGGATGCCCCAGGGCATTACGGTGCGGGCCTATATTATGCAGAACATCCTTGATGGAACATGCGCCCTTGTATATCGAGGGAAGCGTTGAGCAGGACAAGGGTCATCTAGCAAACCCTCCCCTTCGTAGGCCACGTCCCCATCTCCCTCCAAAACGCCCGCGAGTCCAGCACCCTGCCCAGCCTCTCCGCCGGCCTGGGCAGCGCCCGCACGCCCTCCTCCTCCATCAGCTCCGCGACCCACTCCTCGTACCGCAGCCCGTCGGCGTCGACGCCCGCCTCCGCGGCCGCCACGGCGGCCCTCGTCTTCCCCTCGCGCAGCCGCCTGCGCGCCTCGGCGCCCCAGGCCTGCATCAGGTCCCACCAGTCGTAGCAGCGCGTGTCGGCGACGATCCACCTGCGGCCCTTTGTAAAGGCAGTAGTAGTCTGGGCGTGCACGGCCAGCACGGCGCGCGCCACGTCGGCGCCGTGGATCAGGTGCAGGGCGCCCTTGGCGCGCACGGCGTCCTTGGTGCGCGCCACGCGCAGGACCCAGTCGCGCGGGTCGCGGGTCGCGCCCCCCTCGCTGCCGCCGCCGCTGTCGTGCAGGCCCGCCAATGCTAGGACGACGGCGTCGACGCCGCAGCGCTGCAGGAGCTCGTCCTCGGCCACGGCGCGCGGGCTGGCCGTGTCGTGCGGGGACGACTCGTCGTTCCAGCCGGGGGCGGTGAAGATTCCCGTCGAGCCGAGCTGGATCCAGCGGGTGGTAGTTGCTGTGGTTGTCGTTGTTGTTGTTGTTGTGGTGGTGGTGGTGGTCGGCCGCGACGAGACGTACAGCGACGTCAGGCGCCGGCTCTGGCCCTCGCCCTTGAGCGGGAAGGTGATGAGGACGGTGCGAGCCGTCGGCAGGGCGCGGTACGGCGCCGCGTCGGCCGAGTCCGGGTCGAAGCGGAAGGGGACGGTGCCGTCGCGGCCCGTCGTCGTCGTGGCCGCCCACCGGACCTTGTGCTCGTCCAGCAGCGGCAGCAGGAACCGCGACGTCCAGCCCGCGCCGAGCACGAGCATGTCCACCGGCTCCGGCGCGGGCGTGGCGTGCGCCTGCTGCTGCTGCCGGTTGTCATCACCAACCTCCTCCGACGCCGGGCCGCTGGGTGGGGTCGCCGCCATGTCGGGCACCCCTAGCGAGATCGTGACCATGGTGGTGTCGCGGGAGGCACTTGACTTGTTTGGAGGGCTGTTTGAAGTTGCGAGTTGACAAGGGATTGTTGGGTAGGATATAAGGTAGTTCGTTCCGAGGTGGGGAGCACAGTTTTAGCTTACCTCCAATTTATGCCCTCAATCATTTCCATGTCGTTCGTAAATCTGGCGCAAATCGCCCGCCCCCCACTTCGGCCGGTGGTCTACACGGCATTGGACTGCACAGCATCTGCAAGTTTCAACAAGAGTACACAGTAGAAAGACTCACTGGGTTACTGAGACCCCTGATTCATGGTAGGTTTGCTTCCCTCTTCCGACAATCATTGCAATGACATGACAATGTAGATTATTTAGATTAAGAGATAGATCAGAGACTTGGCCAACACTTGAGCCAAAAGTGTCTCCTAGATCAAGATTATATAGGTAGCATATTGTCAACACGCAAAAAGCGCGAGACTGGGGTATCAACACATTCTCTTTGGGCTCGTCCGCCTTGCGATAAAGTCTGCCAAGACGCGGTGAAACGGAAAGGAAGGGGGGAGTACCCTCTTAGCGGATTGTCAGGGCGTTATACAAAAGAAAATTGGACATAAGAAATAGGACCGTGATTGACAGGAGTATGAGAAAGCCAGCCTTCACGCTAGTGCCGGTGACATGGATATTATGACCAAGGAGATGCAGTCAGGGCAGGATGATAAACAGGCAGGTAGTCGTGTAAAGGTCAAGAGATGCCCCAAACGCCGCCGCAGATGCAAGGATATAATAGAGTGACAGATGATAATAAGATGCACGTGACGAGAGGAGTAACATATGACAAGGGGATATTGATGGCAGGTAATAGAAGACACGGGCTGCAAGGGAACCCAAGCGGAAGAAAGTCGGGAGGAATCTGATGGGGAACCAGAGGGGCGAGTGTCAAAGGGTAATTTAAACGCCTACTGACTCGCTAGGTGGGGGGAGAGTTGGTGATGGAAGCAAGGAGAGGGTCTATCCCTCCTCCTGAAGTCCGTCCCTGAGGGCATCCGTATCAACCGCATCCGGCTTGACCTTGCTCGGCGGCATCCGCTTCTGGTGGGTGGCAAAATACTCTTGGAACCCCGGGATCGCACCGGCCTGGTTGATGCCTGCGGGGCGAGAAAAATCCTGCTCCTTGGGCGATTTCGTTGCAGCCGCAGCAGTCGGGGACAGCGGCGAGGGACTGGGTATCTTGGGCGTCTTGGGGCCGGGGGCCGGTGGGGAAGAGCCTCCCCAGGGCCGCCAGGAGGCCAGTCTGCCGAGTGCCGAGGGCTGCCTTGGCGTCGACGTGGACAAGGCCGAGGCTAATGAGAAGGAGGAGGCAGAAGAAGATGTAGAAGGCGGGCCGCCGGCTGATGTGATACGGGGTCGGGGTAAGGGCAGGCCGAGGCCAAGACTATCGCGCAGCACAGCACTGCCGCTCTTGCCGTCTTCTGTCGTGACGGAAATGCTAGGCCGGGCAGTAACAGTCACGGCACTCAGCCCCGTGCCCGCCGCTGCGTTGATGTGCCGGAACGTCAGCTGGCTGGGACGGGCCTTGAGAGTGTGGATATCAAGACCCCCCGAAAGGGACATGATGGACTCATGCGAATCCCTGCGCCGTAGGTTGTGACGGCGCGTAGTAGCCGGCGTGGTACCCATGGCGGACAGAGCGTCACTGTCAGCACCCTCAGCACTAGCAGGAGACTTGCCAAGATGTTGAGAGGCATCAAGGGATGACGTGAGCGACGGTGTAGGCGTAGAGTCGTCCTCGAAGTTGGTGGTCCCGTTTGTCGGCACCGAGGCAGTCTCTGCAGCTGCCCCAGAATGCTTAACAGCCACATCCCGTTCGGGGGAGGGCTGCGGCAAGTGGTCGGGCTGTCGGGGAGGAAAGGACGAGGACGGCTGGAAGCTGCGTGCTGAGGCATCCGAGGCGTGTCTACGATGAGAGCGGCCCCATGCAGGGGGCATAGGGTCTGCAAAGTTGAGTGGTGATGGAGGACAGATATCGTCTGGCGCAATATGCCCAAACATAGAATCGCGTGGGTTGGACTGCGGCGACGTGGGGACCGAGGAGGGGGCAATGTCGGACAAGGGCTCTGAAAAGAGAGACCATCGGTGCGTCTGGGCGGTCGAAACAGAATCTCTGTGGCCGTGAGACAGCATCGCGGGTGCGCGCCACTGACCCCCTGGTGGGGTTGAAGGTGACCTCGTGGGCGGTGTGAAGACGCTCGCGTTCAACAGATAACGCTTCTTCTTGGGCTTCTTCGCCTCGGGTTTGACGTGGTAGTGGTGATGTATGTGCACCTCTTGAGAGACCTTGCGGGTATGCTGCAGATTGTGCAGGCGTGGTTGTATCTCTTCCTCGGACTCCTCGTCGATCTCTCCGGGCCCTATTTCAGCCCTCAGCGTCGACGCAGCGCTGACTTCGTTGTTGGCCACAGGCTGGTGGTACTCGAGCTGCTCCCGGAGCATCTGAATCTCGTCGTTGCTGTTCATGAGAAGCTCGCGCAGCTCAGCAACTCCCAGCTGCAGGTTCGCGTTGTCTTGCAGGAGGTCGCGCACAAAATGCGACACCACAGGGTTGGTTGAGGACTTGCCGTCGCCGATAGTCTTAACGGCTGCGGCGCCCTTGAGACGGCCGGCAGCAGCGTTCAGGTCCTTCTCCATGGCGCGCTGCCTATCCATCCTCTCGACAACCTCGGCGTGTCGTGCCCGCTCTTCCCTGGCCTCTTGTTCTATCCGCTCCAACTGCTGCTGGAGGTTGAAAACGCCTCTTTCGGCCGTCTTCCAGCGCTGGATCGCCGTGCGCGCATCGCGTTGCGAGTTGAAGAGATCATTCTGTATCCTCTCCTGTTCCCTTTCTAGGAACTCGAGTTCGCGTTCGAGCTCGGCGGCACGGGCTGCGGCGCTTTCGAGTCGCCTCGCGCTGACTTGAGTGGATTGAAGCGCGGCCTCGAGGCTTGTGATACGGGTTTCGGCGTCGGACACAGTGCTGTTGAGCGCCTCGAGTTGGTCGAGAAGGTCGCGGTTTTCTTGGATAGTCTTGACGTTGTCGGCTTCGAGCTCCCGCTTGTCGACTTCGAGTTCCTCTATCCGGCTTGTTAACTCAACCCGGTCGCGTTCAGCGTCTGCCATGTAGGCTTCGTGACGGGCAAGCAAAACCTGGAGAGCGGATGTTAGACCTGAGTAACCTTGGATTGGTCGCTCCCCGCGCACCCTTCGCCGCCATCGATACTGTCCTACACACAGCGCTCTGGATAGTTTCCTGCCACTCACAGCCGAAGTGGCAGGAACCAAGCATTCCATCCGTGTTCGCTTGCATCACGAGACAAAGCCGTGCTAGTGGGAAAATGGAGGGACGCGGTGGGATGGAATGTTGAGGAGGCTTGAGCGCGTGAGGAAACACAAACAACAAGAGATACCTCCTCAGGGGCACAAGAAGTGGGATGATGCTGCAAGATCAGGCTGGCGGCAAGACAGGAAGAGAGAAATCAATGTAGAGTCACTTGCCTGGCCCATTTTGGCGGCCGCATGAACGTCCTTCTCGACACTCTCGAGGACAGCACAGTTGTGTTTTAAAAAGACGCAGTCTGCGCGGCCGCAGCAGCACTGGATGGAGGCAGGCTCGGAGCCCACGGCCGAAGATATCGTCGCCATGGCGTCTGCCACAGCTGACGCCGACGACTGGAGTTGATCGGCCATGTTAGCAGCCCGTGATGGAGGCCGCCTGGCAAGGGGTGTTCGGGGCAGTGTCGCAAGCTAGCCCTCGAGTCCCAGATTGCCCGGACTAGGGTCGATGCCTCCGTCGCAGAGATACACACAAGGCGCGAGAGAAGGCAGCGGGTAGCATGCTCGCGGAGAAAAACGACGGTGACGGGCGTTGCATGTGCGGGCTCGGAGGGAGTGAGGGTGAACTAGAAGCAGGCGTGTGCTGGCTCAAGACTTAGTGCAAGTTTTGCACAACGGTCGGGGGGTGGTCGGGTTCCTGGCGCGGTGTGTCGACTCGTGCAGAGTGGCGGCGGGCTCTCCCTTGTTGATCGCAGTCGAACCTAGTCGGTCCACCCGTAGTGTGCGCCACCACAGAAGCATGGACAACACATGGTTGGCGGGCACCCAGGGGCAGTCGTGTCTGGAGAGATGTCTCGAGGTTATCGTGCAAGAAAAAAAGAATAAAGTAGAGTCAAAAAATGCTGGCGTCTGACAACGAGGCGCAAGGAGGAGGGGGATATTGGATATTGGATATCTGCACAAGAGAGGAGGAGTGGGGAGCGGTTCATCGCGTCTTCATTTCACAAGTGGAACCGCTCGATAAACACCACGAGCTGCTTGTTTTTATGCCGGGTCAATCCTGGGTGCCTGGGCGTGCCTGGCCAGAGCTCCGCCGTCAGAGGAGGGATCCAGGGGCGCGTCAGGCACAGGCCAGCCAGTCCACCCCTGCCCTATGACGAAAGCGGCCCAAATCCGCGGCCCCTCCACCAGCCATTTGCTGCGATTTGCTGTGCGTGCTTTCCTTTTCTGCCATCTGTCATTTCGGCTCATGCCTCTGCGCTGCGCCTTTGTGGGCATGAGCACCCCAGCATGCACCACAGTCATCATGAAATGCCGCACAGAGGTGGCCAGCGAGGGGGGCTCAATACGTCGATACACGGTGCGCCCGCCTTCCCGGCTCAGGCACTCAGGCTAGGACCAAACAAGAAGTGTGCGTCTTCTTCGCAAGCCACTAGAAGAAGCATGAAAAGCGGGAGTCGGGGCGGTCTGCCGTCACATTAAATAGCGGCTGCTCCCCTTTCTCAGCAGCCCCAGCTCGCCCGACATGATGGGTTGCTGTCAGGCACGGCCCTGGGAAAATCCCACGCCAATCAGTGCGGGCAATGAGGATGCGCGTCGCCAAAATGGACAAACCTGGAGGCTTGGCACCCAAGACACCCCAGGCGGGCGCAGGTTGGTCTGTGCTGTGCATATGCAGCCATCCATCATCTGACTGGTCTCGGCTAGACCACCAAAGCGCCCGGGCTCCTGAGATCTGTGGCCTACGTGGGAGATCTATCTCCTTCAACGTCGGTTTCGACAGACGCTGACATCTGGCTTTAAATAAATGTTGGTGCCGCCAAGACATGGCACAGCCGCGGAAACAGCGTGGCCCAAGGATGTGGATGGAGCAAAGCGTCTCCTTTATATATGTTGCCACATCCCAGCTCTGGCGACACCACGGAGCTTGGCTCTTGGTGGTCTGAACTGTGAGACTCTCGGGTTTGTGATGACAGCCGCCACGATTTTCTGATGCGGGAAATGTTGCCCCATGGCGACGCTGTATTGGACGATTTGGCCATCTGGTCACGCCAAGGTTCTGATCAAAGCGTCCACCCCGCAGCATCTCGACTTTGTCCGGTGCGGATGTTGTTCTCATCTTTGAGCTGCGGGCAATTACACAAAAGTCAAAGCAAGAATCAAACAAGCCGCCGGCGATGGCCCCAACAATATCGGATCCCTGCTGCGGCCTGGTTTTATTACAAGCTGGATAGGGTGCGCAAAGCTCCGGCGCCGCAGCCAAACAGGCAAACTTTGATCCGGTGATAACCAATGATGGCGGCCAGTCGCGGCAATGAGCGCAAAATAAGGTGTCCGATGCAGCCGTGGGAACGGACGAGAGAGGATCGCGATCACCGTCGCAATATATAACCGACGGTCTGGGTCTTCCTGACACCCCAGACAAATAGAGAGGGGAGCCCGTTGTGTCTTGGATACCATCTCGTCGAACGATTGCCACCACCGCCCTTTAAAAGCAAGGGTCCAGGACGGCGCTCCAGAACGGCGAGCCCTTATCTCCGTCTGCCCTCCGCTGGAAGATGCCCACAACACCGGTTGTTTGGCCAGCTTCTGCCGGGCCTGGAGGCAACAGATATCTTTGAGGATATCGCTCTGCAGTCTACGAACCCAGGAGCCGGCGTCAAGCTCCTAGCGATCGGAATCTCGACCGAACCGGCAGCCTGCACATCTCCGCCAAGGACGAGGCTAGGAACGCGAGTGGCATAAGAGATGGGACATGGGGACGCCGGCCAGTTTAGTTGGGTGCACGAGATCTTGGGGATGGATACCAGCGGGGCCAAGATCAACGCCGTGAACTGGATCATGTTCACTCTTGCGTCTGTCGCCTTGGGGCTTCGCATCTGCTCCAAGCTTGCGCGGACAAAACGGCTGTGGTGGGATGACCATGTGCTGATGGCGTCATGGGTACGTGGAAGAGGAGCCGGCGGGACCGCGACGCCCTCGCGAGAGATGAAAAGTGTGTCTAGAATCTAACATATAGTCTCAGGGTTGCTTGATGGCGAGCACAATCCTTCATTCCTACAACACCACGCTTGGGCTGGGCAGACACGCCACCGAGGTGTCAAAGGACGACGCCTCGACCATCGTCTTCAACGTGGGCCTCGCCGAGACCTTCAGCAACCTCGCGGTCGTGTGGAGCCAGACCTCGTTCTCGCTCACCCTCGTGCGGCTCACCCGCGACCTCAAGCGGTCGGTGCTATGGGCCGTCACGATCCCCCTGAATTTGTACATGTACTTCCTCGCCGCCCTCTTCTGGACCCAGTGCAACCCCGCGGCCAAGGCGTGGCGGCCGGAGCTCCAAGGCAGTTGTCTGCCCACGGCGTCCATCGAGCTGATGTATCTGGTCGGGACAAGCTACCTGGTTTTCGGCCAATTTGTGCTAGCCCTCATGCCCTGGGTCATCATCATGAACCTCCAAGGAATGGGATTGAAAGAGAAGGTGACGGTTTCCCTGTGCATGAGCCTATCCATCTTGTGAGTTTCCTGCTGGTCCACCGATAGATAACCTTCAAAGAAAAGTCTTGATCTCTTTTGGCTGACACGTGAATCACTGGTACTCAGCTCCGGCATCACAGCAATAATCAGGATCATGGCGTTTAGGCTCGTGGACCGGCAAGACTTTTTCTGTATGCGCCACCCCCGCATGTCTCGAAAAGGTGAAACCAGTGGGAGGTGCTGCGGTGCTGACAGGTTCCGTTCCCCACCCGGGAAAAAGACTCGGTCGCGGACGAGGTCATGTGGACCCAGATCGAGATATCGGCCACCATAGTCGCGGCCTCGGTTCCCGTCCTCCGCGCCCTCTGCGTTGAGATCACGGAGCGGATCCGGGTGGGCCGCACGCGCACCTTTGCCGACGACCCCGAGGCCGGGCACTCCCGCGCCGCCGGCCCGCCGAGCGATGCCGCCGCACGAGCCGACAGGCCAAGGCGCCTGCCCGCGCGGCCCAAGCACGCATACGTCGCCTCCCTGGAGGGCATGTCCGGGGAAGGCACAGGACCCCACCGCCGGCCCCTGCCCACTTGCATGGCGAGGTCGGATCTTGGTAGGATTAAGAAGATATTATGGCCTGAGAATGAGGCCGAGGGAGAGCAGATCGAGCTGTGCCGGACGCTGTCGGAACCGCCAAGGTGTTGGTGAGCCAAGCGCCGCATAGAGATGACGCGCTTTCTAGTAGGACCAGTCGGTTGTTCAGGGATGGATGAATTTGAGAAGTCCACATCGATACAAATTTTGCCAGTACAGCAGCTTAATTTATACACACCACCCACATATTCTCCCACTCGGCCGCGGGTTCACATTTTTCCGACCCGCTGATGTGATATGTGCCACGTAGGCTCCGTGGGTATGGTAGCCGGTTCCACGGATGAGCCGGAGCCCCAAGACCAGGAAAGGATAATGGTCTGCTTACGGTGAGTAATCCGGCATAGGGAAGTTTCTTGGTGAAGGAGGCCAGCAACTTGTGCCAGAGGGGCTGGTGTAGTACGCGGGGCAGGTTTATAAGAGGGCGCCATGTTGCTGTTATCGGCCTCCATGACATCTTCTTTCCTCAGGATTCAACACCAGAAAGACCCTTCATCAGTTATTCTCAGTCATCCCAAATGTCTCCCGGACGGCGCTATGAGGCTTCCGGGCCGGCGAATCCCAGTGCCCTCGGCCAGCCCCTGAGTTTCCATTTCTCCGGAAGGACGGCCAAGAACCGGCTGATGAAGGCAGCCATGAACGAGAAGCTGGCGAGCTGGAGTGACAACGACATGCAGCTGAACGGTATTCCAACCAAGCAGTTGATCGAGCTGTACCGCCGGTAAGTGAGATGCGGGTCTTCTGGAGCTATGGTCGAAACTCGAACAAGGCTGACACAAGGTCAAATGACCCGAGCACAAGCTGGGGAGAGCGGGCGAGCAACTGGGGAATGATCATAACGGGCAACATTTCTATTGAGCTCGACCACCCCATCTCGCGCGGAAACGGAGCCATCACACTCGAGTCGCCCTTTGCAGGGGACCGCTTCGAGGCGTTCAGACAGCTTGCTTCGGCCGGCAAGGCCAACGGTTCTCTGATTATTGCGCAGATGAACCACCCCGGCCGACAAGCGAGCGCGGATGATCAGCCGCATCCCATTTCGGCATCGGCGGTGCAGCTGGGTAAGAGTCTTTGGCGCTGGACCCCCATCGACCCTGTCCATAATGGATGGGGATGTTGTAAAGGGATATATGCAAGAAGGGGAGTCGAGAATAGAATGGTTAACCACAAATCGGGTTGATATGACCTCAACAGCACCGACCTTCGGCACCACGTTCGGAGAGCCCCGCGCCGCAACAAAGGCCGATATAGCACGCATCGTGGCCTCGTTCGGCCACGCGGCGCAGTACCTCGAGCGGGCCGGGTTTGACGGGATGGAGCTCCACGGGGCGCACGGATACCTGCTGGCGCAGTTCCTCTCCAAGACGACCAACCAGCGGACCGACGAGTACGGCGGGTCCGTGGCGAACCGAGCGCGGATCCTCGTCGAGGTGGCGCGCGAGGCGCGGCGCCGCACGTCGGCGGGTTTCGTCCTGGGCGCCAAGCTCAACAGCGTCGAGTTCCAGGAGGGCGGCTTCACGCCGCAGGAGGCGGCCGAGCTGTGCGCCATCCTGCAGGACGAGGTCGGGCTCGACTTTGTGGAGCTGAGCGGCGGCACGTACGAGCGCATGGCGCTGCACTGGGAGAGGGAGAGCACGCGTCGGCGCGAGGCCTTCTTCCTCGAGTTCGCCGAGCTGGTCGTGCCCGCGCTGGGCTCGCCCGACAGGCGGCGCACGAGGGTCTACCTGACGGGAGGGCTCCGCACGGTGCCGCGCATGGTGGAGGCGCTGGAGCTCGTCGACGGCGTGGGCATCGGGCGCCCCTCGACACAGGAGCCGCACCTGGCCGCCGACATCCTGGAGGGCCGCGTGGCGGGGGCGGTCCAGCCCGTCGAGCCGTTTGACAACGACACGGGCCTCGGCCTCCTTGCTTCCGAGGCGCAGATGGCCGACATTGGCGATGGGGGTGAACCGTTTGACCTGAGCAACCCGGAGGACGTGGCCGCGTTCCAGAAGGACATTGCGGCTTTCTTCAGCAAGCCTCACGGCGGACCCATCAGATTCGGGGGCGAGGGGAGAGCTTGATAGACTTGCCAGGCTGCATGGAAGTGTGGAGGTTGGGTTATTACCTGTTCGGGAGCTTGATGAGCGACAGCTGTAAGGGCCTGACTCAGCTCCCCTGGTTGCCGCCGTGGCCTAGGCTCGGCAAGAACGGTAGGTGGTATGTGATGGTTCGAGCACAATAAGACGTCATTATTCTACAGGTCCCAGGGATCACCAACTCTAGTGCGGTGAATGCTGGATACATTTTCTTCCTCAGAAAACCAAGTCAAACTGATGTACCACCAGGATCCACCGTACTAAGGTTTATGATTCCTGGGACCTGTACTGCAGCATCCAAAGCTCGGGTCTAGCTTGGACCACTCGTAGAGCTCGCATTTGTTTGCTATGACCAATTCAAAGCTCCCAGCTGGTTAAAAACCCCACTCTCGCCGAGCTTAATCCGTCCCTGCTCCTTCCCGTGCTTTTGCCCCGGGCGTCGTAACTCGTAACCCCGCGCCCGTCCCTGGTAGTTTCCGCTGGCAACCAATCGTGGTGGACGTCGCCTCCCTCACTCTTGCTCTCCACACCTCCAGCTTGTCTCGCCATCTCTGCCCGAGGTCCCCAGTCGGTATCTCTTCAATATCACCGAGCCGTCTTTCTCCTCATGATATGAGCCTTGTTTCTGCTCTCTCTGCTGCTCGACAGGCTTCCTTGCGCCCGAGAACCATCCAGTCTCTCCTCTTTGCCAAATCAGCCCTTGTCCTGACGTCATCTTTTCCCCTCAGTCGCATCTCGGCCCGGGCAATGTCACAGGAATACAAGCTCAAATCGGTCACATCGCTGGACCTTAAGCCGGGCGACAAGCAGGAGGTTGAAGTTGAGGGCATTCCCGATGCGAAAGTGCTGCTGGTGAATGCCGGGGGCAAAGTTCAGGCCATTGGGCCCAAGTGCACCCGTGCGTGATTCCCCCATGGTAGAGCCAAGGGCAGTATGACTGACGCTTCTTCTCAACAGACTATGGCGCGCCGCTGGTCAAGGGTGTCCTAACAACAGAAGGCCGCCTCACCTGCCCTTGGCATGGCGCCTGCTTCAACGCTAAGACGGGCGACGTCGAGGACGCGCCAGCACTCGACTCGCTGCCCACATTCAAGGTTGTCGAGAGGGATGGCGCCGTTTATGTCACCGGAGAAGAGGCCACTATCAAGGGCGGCCGCCGGAAGCCCAAGTTCCAATGCGCCAGTATCAAGCAGGACTTGGACAAAGTGCTCGTTGTCGGCGGTGGCTCTGGTGCCATTGGCCTCGTCGAGGAGCTGCGCGAGCAGGGATACCAGGGACCCATCACGGTCGTTTCCAAGGAGGGATACCTTCCCATTGATCGGCCGAAGCTCAGCAAGGCCCTTCTGACGGATCTTTCCAAGCTCCAGTGGCGCGACCTTGAGTGGCTCAGATCGGGCAACGTGGAGTTTGTGGAGGATGAGGTCACGGCTATCGACTTCTCAGGCAAGAACGCCTCGACCAAGAACGGCCAGACGCTTCCCTACGGCAAGCTTGTGCTTGCAACTGGTGGGACGCCCCGCACTCTACCACTTCCAGGCTTCAAAGTTTTGGGCAACGTCTTCACGCTGCGTACCGTGCACGACGTCCGCAAGATTGTCGATGCCATCGGCCCCAAGGGAAAGAAGATTGTCGTCATCGGATCCTCCTTCATCGGTATGGAGGTTGCCAACGCAACATCCAAGGAAAATACCGTTACCGTTGTTGGCATGGAGAAAGTGCCACTCGAGCGCGTTCTCGGCGAGAAGATTGGCGCTGCCGCCCAAAAAGGCCTCGAGGCGAACGGTGCCAAGTTCTACATGTCAGCAGGCGTTGAGAAGGCGGAGCCGTCAGCTTCTGACCCGGCCATGGTCGGCTCCGTCATACTCAAGGACGGCACTTCGCTGTCTGCCGATCTGGTGATTCTCGGCGTTGGCGTGGCGCCTGCGACCGAGTTCCTCAAGGGCAATGCTGGCGTCCAGCTGCTCCAGGATGGATCGCTTGAAGTCGACGAGCTGTTTGCGGTCAAGGGTGTCAAAGACGTGTACGCGCTTGGCGACATCGCCACTTTCCCTTACCATGGCCCCGCTGCTGGAGGAAAGGGAGTGAGGATCGAGCATTGGAATGTGGCGCAAAAGTCGGGCCGGACTGCAGCGCGACACATTGTCAACCCGAGCCTCAAGGCCGAGTTCTTCACACCGATTTTCTGGTCCGCCCTCTCTGCTCAGGTGCGCTACTGTGGCAACACCATGGCAAGTGGCTGGGACGATCTCGTGATTCAGGGCAACGTCGACGAAGGCAAGTGGTCGGCCTTTTACGCCAAGGGTGAGGATATCGTGGCCGTCGCAACGATGGGCACCGATCCCGTTATGGTGCAGAGTGCCGAGCTTCTCAGACTAGGCAAGATGCCCAAAAAGAGCCAACTGGAGAAGGGCTTTGATGTCATGAGCCTGGGTGCGCCGGAGTAAGCCTGGATGGGGAGAACAGGCCAGAGAATGGTTGGGATTCTTGGGCGCCGTTCCAACGAATACATTTCTCGCCATCTGTGCGCAAGTGTTCCGAGTTTAACTATAACAAACGCAAGCCAGCCCAAGCCACGTAAGGCCGCATGACGGAACTACATGTTACTTTCTCTTCCATTTCCTTCCCTGGTCGGGTGCCACTATCGTGGCTTAAAACGATAGCCTTCTTGTGTCCGAAAGTTGGTAGAACGACAGAATGGCTGACAGATCCCAAACTAAAAAAAAAACTATCGAGATGACCACTCCAACTGCATGTATACATAAATATGATGGACACCACACCTACAACAGCAGTTTCACGTTTTGTTTTATTCTCTTTACCCACGTTCTGTTCATTCTCTCTCCACGTTCTGACAAAACTTGTGACCCTGAAAGTCCAGACAGCAAAACGCGAGTGCAATCTCACCACACAATGCGCGCCAAAGATATTATCACACTACTCCTGGCCTTGACCTCCACGGTCGGGGCCCTGGAGCAGGCGAGCCTAACTGTCACCTCGACCAAGGCAGCTTCCCTCACGGTGACGCCTGACAACACCACCTCCCGCCTTCCGAACACCCTATCCACCGGTACCAAAGCGCCCGTCAAGCCAACCGGCGTGCCGGGGAAGGTGGAGTACAAACCCCCCACCACCGCGGCGGAGTGTCGCAACGGTGTATGCCTGAATTGTTGCTGGATCTGGAGCTGGGTTACATTTGGCTTCAGCTGCCGTAAGTCCATCCCCTCCATTTGCACCCGACACTCGCCGAACGTCCATACGGTCCACATTTGCCAACACTTCTTCTCTAGTCGCTTGCCTCCGCGCCGTCGGTTGCCCCCTCAGTTAGGCTACTCGAGGAGGCACCATACTCTTTCCGTTGCCGCTGCCGGTAGGGCACAGGGGCTCCACGGCCGAAGACTGGCCGAACAGAGGGCAGACGGGGAGGTTGGGGGGAAACGCGGGGGTGGTGGAAAAGGTGGTCGTCGGGGATATGCGTAGGAGGGAAAGTCAGATTGTATGCTTCATGACGATATTCCAGCTCCCCGGAAATCATAATGAAATCCATGCTGGCACGCGCGAAGCCACAGAAAAAAAAAAAGGGGGGGGTTTTTTTTTCAAATTTTTTTTTTCAAATGCGTAGGGTTGCTGAGGAACTGGGCGGGATATCCTCGTCGCCGGTGCCCCACGACGTGCTCTCCACTGGGCCCAGCACCAGCTCCAAGACGCCCCCCTCGGCGAAGAAGCCGTGCGTGATCCAGCTCCGGCTATAAGGGGCGCCGTTGAGCGTCGCGCGCTGCACGTAGATGTTTTCGTACCCGGCGTCCAGGCCGACGGCCCGCACCGTCGCCGTCCTGCCCGTGACGGCGCTGGTGACGTTGACCTCGGGGAAGAAGGGCGGCGTGATCAGGTACACGTCCTGGCCGCCGACGGGGTACAGCCCCATCATGGCGAGGGTGCTGAAGGCGCCCATGGCGCCGCTGTCGTCGTTGCCGGGGATGCCGGACACGGTGTCGTTGAACTGCGAGGGTATGTAGCGGTGCGCGTGCTCGGCACTCAGCCCCGGCCGCCCCGCGTAGTGGAACAGGTACACGAGCAGGAAGGCCTGCTCGTCGCCTAGGTACAACAGGTCGGGCGTCTTGTGGAAGTACTCGAGCCGCCGGACAAAGGCCTCGGGCCCGCCCATGGCCTTGATGAGGGTCGCCATGTCGTGCGGGGCGGCGAGGAAGGTGTAGAGCCAGCTGCCGCCCTCGTACGTCTCGTGGCCGTTGCTGTTGAGGTAGCACGAGGTGAAGTTTTGGATGGGCTGGCAGAGGCTCGGGTCCTGGAACCCAAAGGTGCCGTTGAGGTACTTTGGCTGGAGCCAGCCCATCCAGCCGCTGTCTATGAGGCCGAGGGAGGTGTTTAGGATCGAGGTCTGGTCTGGCTTGAAGAGGTTGAGCCAGTTGTTGGATCTTTGATGGTAGATTTCGGCATCCTCAGGCTTGTTCGTCAGGCCGGCCATGAGAGCGATGCAAAAGTCGTTGTATCCGTACTCAACGGTGCGCGAGATGGAGCGAGTAAACAGTCCGACGCCGTGGGGATCGAAGTCATCGGCGGGGATGTATCCCAGTGTCTTCCAGCTCTTGAGGCCGCCTCGGCCCTCGACGGTCCACACAGGAGGCTGTACTTTTTTCGCGAGAAAAGCGTCAGCCGTCAGTACACATCATAAAAAGCCAGGGGTTGCTGAGCAGGAACAGGGGCAATACCTTCAGCGTCCTTGACAATGGCTTCATAGGCAGTCGCCCAGTCAATGCCCCCGCCAAGGCCTTGTCTTTTGACGAACGCGTCAACGATAACAACGTCCGCATTGCTGCCGCCCTGTGTGTATCCCTTGCAGAAGCTCATACGACAGTCCGGGAGGTAGCCCTCGTGTCGGTAAGTATCCAACAGCGACCTGATCATCAGTGTCTGGCTATGTGGGTCAAGGATCGTGATCAGCGGGTGGACGCTCCGGAAGGAGTCCCAAATGCAATAATACGAGTCGTAGTCTGCAGAGATATTAGCTGTGTGGGTTGATGCAAGCGATACGGGAGCTGCATGATCAAGACTTACACGGTTCCGTGCTTTGCCAGAGCGGATTTTCGCCTGCCGCCGTGTTAGTTTCGAGTCCTATCTCTGTTGAGAAGCTGATTTTGCATACCCGTGTAATCTTGCGGTGAGATCAGCGACCGGTAAACGCCAGACCAGAATACAGTCTGGAGAGACTTGTCGACGTTTCCGCTATCGATAGCGATGACTCCAAGTTTTTGACGCCATGCAGCCTGTGCTGCCAACAAAGTTGCGTTGAAGTCAAAATTGGGTATTTCTCGCTCCGCGTTGCTGCAAGCTTGAGCCACACTAATGAACGACACGCCGACCCTGACAAGGATTTGGTCGTTGGCGGGCGCCTGGAACTGGACCCAGGCCCCAGCTGGAACCGGCGGGGAGCTGACACCATCGGGGTATATCTGCAAACTTTTTGGGTCGTTTCCAGCCCTGTTGTTCATGAAGACGCCAGTATCTTGGAGCGCTGCACCACTGAAGTCTGCGCAAAAATGCGTAGTATATGTGCCGACGCCAAACGAAGGATTGAAGGTCCCGTTGCCGGTGATTCGGCCGGTAGAGGGATCGACGCTGATGGAGGCATTGCTCCGCGACCCGGGAAGATCGGTCAAGTCAGCCAGGATAAGTGGTTTGTAAGGTAGGTCCGGGGCTGGCTGCGCGCCTGTGCTCATGTTCTTGGCCTGCCCGGGAAATGTGAACCGGTAAAGGGCGGTGCGGTTGGAAACGGTCATCTCGGCGTGGATAGACGTGTTGAGAGAAACTGCAAAGTATCCTGGGCTCGCCTTGACCGTGCTGTTGATTTTCTGGCTAGCCCTGAGGGCTTTGGGAAAGTAGCACCTGTTCAGGTCGTCGCCGGCGCACCCAGTCTGTGGAAAGATGGGGAAGTTCCCCAAGCTCGTTCCCTTGAATAAGCGTTAGCATTGCCGAGACGAGCCTTGGTGCCCATTTGCGGCCATGGCAACATACCCCTCCGGTCCCAGAATCATGCAAATGACTGAAGCCGGTGACTGGCATCTAGCTGTCAGTGTGGGCATACTAGGTTGCGTGGCTGCTATAGGTTGAAAAAGAACGCAAGCCAACGGAATACGAAGCTTGGTATGGTGCCTCACTCAAGTTATCCCCCGTCGAGTAGCCACCTGCAGATGGTCAGCGGGTGTTCAAATTCACAGCTTCCTATACACATTTTCATTTACTTGCCTTGGTTCTCGTTGTCGACGTCAGCTACTGCCTTGGCCATACCAAACGGCAGCGTCGCTCCGGGGAACACATGGCCTTCAGAGAGTCAGCTTGATGAGCCTCACACGACCAAAAAACGGTATTGAGGGAGACAACCTCCGTTTGTCGTTCCAATCAAGGGGTCGATGTAGTCAAATACGTCGAAGCCAGGCTCGGAGGATTGACCAGAAACCACTTGTACGACAAGTGTGGCCAAGGCCAGTAGCAGGGACATGATTTGATTTGGCCTGTGTGGTATTTTCCCGAAAAGCAGGAGTAAAAGTACCAGGTTGGAGGAAGGCAGGGGGCCAGCGAATTTGCTCAAAGATCCTTTTTATATGGAAGTAGGGAGTGGAGGCTATGAAGGATGCAACGTTCTCTGTTCTCCGCAGCCCCCATGTCACACACAACGTCACCTGCTCCCTCGCGCGGGGGTTGGACCAAGTTATCCGTCTCGCGGGGTGTATACCCTGCCGGTCTAGAACAAAGGCTGTACGAGCAAAAGACTAGCCGGATACTAACTAGAGACGAAGGTGAGGCTAATGCCGGAGGCAGCGGCCAGCTGAGATACTATTCACCAGTCGCATGGCTAAAAGTGGGAATCCACAGGCCGCAAGTAAGTAAACATTGCTACTGACAACCTGGTAGCACCCAATAGCTATCCCATGCTAATAAGCAGTCCGAAAGATATAATGCAGTCTGAACCGCATCCATAGCAGGACGATGCGGGACGACAAGGGATGAATTCGTGGAGTCGAGATTCCGAGTCAGGAAGGTTCGTGAGCAGGCGATGGTATTAGCCGCCGGGGAGGCGTTCTAGTCCGCATGAATTCAGTGGGTTGCATTGTATATTGAGGGGAAAGTCGCAGAATGATGTCGGCTCCTTCACAGCAAACTCATGATGCGTGTGCCGTTGTCGGCCCAGCAAGCCACATGCAGGGCCTTGTGGGTCTACCCTATATACCCCACATTGAGATCCCTGTCGGTCTTATCTTATCATCCTCATCTTTTTTTTCTTTTTGCCTTTTTTTCTTCCTCTGGACGATTGTCGGCGTTGAGAAGACTCCGAAGCCGCCCCGCCCAGCAAACTCAGACCTGTACACCAGCCACAATGTCTGCAGGGACGAAACACAGCCGCTCCGACGGCGACCGCGAGAGCGAACCGCTAGCCAAGAAGGCCAAGACCGACCCTGTTGCCCACAATGGTGACGAAAGCGAGGAGCCGACTGTAACAAAGGAGAAGCGGAAGAAGGACAAGAAGGAGAAGAAGGAAAAGAAAGACAAAGAAGCAAAGAAGGGAAAGAAGGAGAGGAAACGAAAGGACAAGGAGGAGAAGAAGCGCGCCGAGGGTCAGTCGGAAGACACAGAGCCCACCGTCGCGGCCGCAGAGGAGAGCACCCCCGCCGACGCGACTCCAGAGGTTGAGGAGCCGGTGGTGGAGGAGGAGGCAGCTACAAAGACCAAGGAGAAGAAGGAGAAGAAGGAGAAAAAGGACAAGAAAGAAAAGAAGGATAAGAAGAGCAAGAGGGAAAAGAAGGCGAAGGAGTCCGCAGACGATGCCGACAGCAGCGAGAGCCCCGCCAACGGGGTCGCGAACGGCGCAACGACCGGGGCCGCGAACGGCGTCGTCGCGCGCGACTCGACCTACGTCTACAAGCAGACCGACGCCTTGACAGCGCTGCCCGAGTCCGAGGTCAAGGACTTCATGGACACTCAGCAGGTTGCCGTTTCAGAGCCCTCGTCGACGACCACACATCGTCCGATCCTCAAGTTCGACCAGCTGCCCGCCTCTCCGCTCATTGCCAAGGCGCCCTTCGCCGGCTTCAGCGTCCCGACCCCGATCCAGTCCGCCTCGTGGCCATACTCGCTCTCGGGCCGCGACGTCGTCGGCATCGCCGAGACCGGCTCCGGCAAGACCCTCGCCTTTTCCGTGCCCTGCGTCGAGGCCCTCAAGTCCCTCCCGGCCGACGCCCGCCCCAGGCCGTCCAAGGGCGGCAGGGTCTCGGCCAGCGCGCTCGCCGTCGTCGTCTCGCCGACCCGCGAGCTCGCCATGCAGACGCACGCCGCGCTGGCCAAGCTCGCCGCGCTCGTCGGCCTCTCGGCCGTCTGCCTGTTTGGCGGCGCGCCCAAAGAGGACCAGCGCGCGCTGCTGCGCAAGGGCGCCGACATCATCGTCGCCACGCCGGGCCGCCTCAAGGACTTCCTGTCGGACGCCACGGTCGACCTCTCGGCCGTGCGCTTCGTCGTGCTCGACGAGGCCGACCGCATGCTCGACAAGGGCTTCGAGGACGACGTCAAGCTAATCCTGGGCCTGTGCCCGGAGCGCGGCCGCCGCCAGACGCTCATGTTCACCGCCACCTGGCCCGCCAGCGTCCGCGGCCTGGCCGAGACCTTCATGGTCGACCCCGTCAAGATCACCATCGGCGGCAAGACGCGCGCGGGCGCCGACGGCGAGGAGGGCAGCGGCAACGGCGTCGTCGAGCTGCAGGCCAACTCGCGCATCTCGCAGACCGTCGAGGTCGTCAGCCCCTGGGACAAGGAGAACAGGCTCGTGCAGCTGCTGGCCGAGGCCCAGAGGGGCAAGTGCAAGAACGACCGCATCCTCGTCTTTTGCCTGTACAAAAAGGAGGCCGTGCGCGTCGAGAACCACCTCCAGCGCAAGGGCATCAATGTCGCCAGCATTCACGGCGACCTGAAGCAGGAGCAGCGGACCCGGAGCCTGGAGGCCTTCAAGGCCGGCACGACGACCGTCCTGGTGGCTACCGACGTCGCCGCTCGCGGTCTGGATATTCCCGAGGTCAAGTTGGTAATCAACGTCACGGTGAGCTTCTGGCAGTTTGGGCGGTTCCAACCTCTTTTGAAAATCTCGTTGCTAATTGTGCTATCAATTTCCTCCAGTTCCCCCTGACCATCGAGGACTACGTCCACCGCATTGGCCGGACTGGTCGTGCCGGAAAGCTCGGCCAGGCCATCACTCTCTTCACCGAGCACGACAAGGCGCACTCGGGCAGTCTCGTCAACGTCCTCAAGGGTGCCAACCAGCCGGTACCCGAGGAGCTGCTCAAGTTTGGAACGACTGTCAAGAGGAAGGGCCACGACACCTACGGCGCCTTTTTCAAGGACGTCGACATGAGCCAGAAGGGCAAGAAGATAACGTTTGACTGAGCATAACTCGTGTGTTCACTCTATGGGTATATGGGAATTGAATCATCTAACGTTGGGACTCGGGGCTTCATGATTGAGCAAAGCAAAAGTTTTATGTTGTTTTTTTTCTTTCCGCTTCTTGAAACCTGTCCCTTTACTTGTTGGTGGCCTTTTGCCGCCGTCCCCTTGCTGTCTCGAAGCATCGCAGCAGAAACTGCCGCTCGCCGATTGCCCTACACAGCGTTCGTTAGACTAGGGGTTTCTAGACTTGATTGTTCGAGGATAGACATAATCGAGGGGTCGATAGAAATGCGAGAAAGACAGAAAGAACAAGACTTACACCAGTGCGATAAACACAATGGCTACGCCAGCAACCTTGACAAGCTCGATCATTATCTGCTTGGCGGCGAGACCGGGCAGAGGGGAGCCGCCGACAACAGCACGAGCAGCCTGGTTGGCGACGGCCGCGGCCCCGATCGTGAGGGCGCTGGGGCGGACCTCGGCCAGGTCAAACTTTACGCCGGCCCTCGCAAAGTAGCGGGAGATGAAGCCGGCGCACCAGACGATGCGGCAGGCCATGTTGATGGAGTTTGCGACGACGAGGCCCTTGGCGCCCCAGGCGAGGACGCGCAGGAAGACGAAGCCGGCGGCGCCAAAGGCGAGCGAGAAGGCGCCCATCCAGGCGCTCTGCAGGCGAACCTCGGCCTCGGTGGCCACCGAGGCCACGAAGGACTCGGCGACGCCGTTGGCGGCTAACAGCGGCACGTAGAGCGCGTAGGCGGCTAGCACGGCGCCGGCGCCTGACGCGGCCCACCGCGGGCCGGCCACCAGGCCGACGAGCAGGGGCGCCGCCGTGGGGCCCAGGGCCACGACGACGACTGAGAAGATTGAGTAGAGCTTGAGGAGGACGGTGAGGTCGGCGCTGGCCTTGTGGGCGGCCGCTTTGTCCTTCTCCTTCTCCTCGTTGCCGGTGGTCTTGTCGGTAGCACCAGGGCCCTGTTGTGACAGGAGGCGGCTGAAGTACGAGCGGCTGCTCTCCTCGATGGGCTGGAAGACAAGACGAGCCACAAGGCCGCCGTAGTTGTTTGCAAGTGCGTAGACGCCCTGCGCCGTGGGGGTCGAGAGGGCAGTGACGAGGAGGGTGTCTCCCTGCGTCAAGAGGTGCTTGAACAGACTCTGCGCGATCATGCTCCGTGCCAGGTACAGCGTGGGCCGGTAGAAGAACGACATGGCATATGGCGAAGAGGATGACGAGGAGGAAGCGGCGGCCAGTTTCTTTGGCAGCAGCGAGAAGCCCTCCTTGCCGGCGAGCACGGCGCCGTACCAGCCGTAGACAGCCAGCAGCACGAGGCCGTAGCTGAGCTGGCCGAGCGCGAAAGGGAGAACGCCGGCCTCTACCCGAAGCCGGGAGGCGACCACGGCAGAGCCTAGCGTGACGACGCAGCGCGCAAAGGTCGCGGTGGACTCGGCGGTGGCGCGGGCGCCGAACTGCAGCCGAGTCTGCATCACGACGAAGGCCGGCTCCGAGAGCAGCTCCACCATGGCCGCGATCGCGTAGATGGAGAAGGACGGGAGCAGGAACGGCGTCGACGCCATGGTGTCGCCGTCGATCGAGCCCAAGTACAAGACGCCCAGCAGGGCGGCCGAGACGAGACCGAGGAGGATGGAGATGTACGACAGGTTCACCACGGCCTGCGTGGTCCGGGCGCGCGCGGTGTCTGCCGCCGCCGGAGACCTGGGGCCCGGGCCGGCGGTAGCGGTGGCCGCATTATCCTTGGCGGCGCCGGTCTTGGCATCGCCCTCGTGTGCGTGATCGGCACGGTCCTGCGCGTCCCCCTGGCGCTGTATGGCCACGCGGAGGCTCTCTCTCGCGAAGAAAAGGACAGAGAGGTAGTAGACCTCGAGCTGGGTCGACACGCCCAGGAGCTGGGCCGTCAGGAAGCGCAGCAGGAGCTGGTTGGCGACAAAGGTGATGGCGCGCGAGGCGACCTGCAGCAGGATCAGGAGCGACGCGCCGCGCAGCGCGCCCGAGGCGGCCGGGCTGCCGAGGGGGGTTGCTTCCTTTTCGCTAGCCATCGTCGTAGCCCGTTCCCGCGGACAAAGAGTGTGGTTGAAAGAAGGGGCTGGGAGAGATGGAGAGAACGTCAACGTGTGAAGTTCTCACCCGCTCGCACAGTTGGCGGGGCACTTGTGGCCCACAACTGAACAGCGTGTCTGGTGCGCTGTGGCTGACCACTAGGCTGTCGGTTGGTGACCCGCTCCAGCTGTCTGGTACAGCTTGAGCCACCTAATGTGTGGCCATTCAATTTCCATGTTCAATAATATCAAAACTCCTAGCCATGAACAGGACATAGCCCGGGCACAGCATAGCCGCAGAATGCACACATCAATCCAGGATTCCCCCTACACGTTACACAGGCGAGCGATAAATCCCGGTGTGGGAGCTAGACTCCTATCTGGACAAAATCGCAAACATAAGCCCACCACCGAGGCCAGGGCCCTCTTGTCGCCTGGAAATACCGAGCCCTTGCATCTCGGCCCGCCTTCTTGGCTACATCTGATCTCCTCCATTTCCAGCAAGCCGACGTCTTTCTCTCTCTTGAAGGTGTAGATTTCATGTAAGCACTAGGTAGCGAATGCACCTTTGGGATTCCACCTAGCAGCATGCCCATTCGCTCAGAGGAGCAGAAGGATCGATGCCTATGAATTAGAGCAGATTCCCGTGATGCGCTGATAACGCAGATCATCTCAGCTACTGACAATCTCAGCGAAACACATGTGCTGGGAGAAGCACGCGGCCGGCCTGAGCTAACTGCCTTGGCCGTCAACTTGGCCATGTCCACTGAGATTGCCATCCCTGCCCAGGTTCGACAGCCACAAGTAAACCTCCCACCAATCACCCGCCGTTTTGTCACTTGTGCTCGGACTAGCCCCGGACTTCCAGCACCAGCAAGCGCTGTGGCTCCCGCCCGCGTCTCCCTTTGGATGGCGGATTTCGGAGCCAATTTGGTTTCCTGTAGAATCGGATCTATTTTATTCTCTGTTCCTCTTCCCTTTCCCACTTTCTATTACCTGCCGGCGCGCCGCTTGGCATCTGTGCCATCAGTTGCGCGTTGTATCTGTCAAGCGTTCCCTAGTGTCCAACCAAGAAGGATAGGAGAAACTTATCCGTGCTCTACCTGAGCGCGTCAGGTGCATTTTGACACGCACAATATATCGACGACGCTAGCATGCCCCGCGGTGAGCAAACCCGCCCTTGCTACCGCCTCGGTGCTCGCCGTCCCCTCGGGCTCTGCTGCCGGACCGGCCTCGCGCAGAACGGCCAGAATGGCGTGTGGTACCTGTACCCGCCCGAGGGCGGCCTGACGCTGTATTCGCTCGACACGGTCAACGTCTCGTACATCTCGCCCTTTGGCTCACCGAACATGTTCACATTTTGCGACAATGGGAACAAACTTAGTGAGGCCTAGCCTTTGTTTATCACCATCTCAGTGGAGTCCCCATGCTAACAGCACAGTCCGCATCCAGCCGGCAGGGCCCAAAAATAGGTCGGTCCTGGTGTACCTCAACTTCACAAGCTCCACCCCCTGCTACTTCAACCTGCGACCTGGGATGGAGGCTGGCTTTAGTGCGAACAGTCCCAAGTTCAGCCTCTCCTCCACCCCGCGTTCCGTCATGACAACCGTTGGTGCCGCTCTACCGGCCAACCCAACCTCTTCGCCGAGCTCGAGCTCGAGCTCGAGTTCAGAGACCACAGCCAGCAGCTCCAAGGGGACGTCGACCGCAAACCCAGACACGCCGCTGCCCGTAGATGCCCCCTCGGAATCGCTCAGCACTCGTGCCCCGGCTGGAATCGGCATCGGCGCCGCCATCGGGGGCACCGGATTGCTGGCCGTCGCCTTCTTCCTCGGTCGGCGCTGGCGGGCGAGGGGCGAAGCTCCTGGGCCGGCCACGGAACAAATTGTGTTCAGAGAGGAAGCGAAGGGCTACGGGGTGACGAGACGAGTTGGAGTCCATACTCGAGCGCACCCATGACCGGCAAGAACCCACCACTGCGGGAGCTCGAGGCCACCCCAACGGAAATGTGTGCCATGTCGCCACCGACCGAGATGCCCGGCTACGTGCCCCCACTGGAGATGCCTGCATCACATGGGCATCGGCCCCAATGAAAGGCATAGATCGATGTTTATCACGCTAGAATTACATCGAAAATACCCATATCCTCACCGGATGCAAACCGTTGCTTCTACATTTCCTACTTTCACAAGCCAGGCTGGTATCGAACAGATTCTGCAATGGTGGTTTAATTAAAAGTATCCATAAAGATATAAAAACATTTCCTTGTTATGTGTACACATATTTAACAGTATCGAGGGCTCGATGAAGCTAAGCAGTATAAATCGCTTTAAGCAATACTTATCACTTCAGCGCAATGGTTACTAGAAGTTGCGTTTGTAGCAAGCCGCATGGTTTGGGTTTTTAAGAGCGAATTTCCTAAGCTGCGCTACCATTTTGAATACACCACAATATTTTGCTTCTTTCAAAAGCAATAAGAATTTAAAGTAGTATATTATTTCAAACCAGTGATACAAAGCTAATGTGTTGCCGTTTCAAGACCAACAAACATGACTTTGCAAAAGTGTAATGCGAATTGGACATTCCGAGCTTAGTTGTATTTTAGATTTCCGGATTTCGATATGTTAATTCTTTTTTCGTTTAATACCGGTGACCGGGCACTAACCCCACCCATGCCCTGTAAACCTTTCTTGCTCCGTAACCTGCAGATCATACCCACGTGCACATGTTCGCGTAGCGATTAACTTTAGCTTTATTGTGTTTTTTTGGCCAAACGGAAATCTCTCCGCCCAACAGCTGCACGACGAAAACCGTCCTACCCAAGAAATCCTTGTTGCGGGAAAGCTGTTGGACACAATGTGGGGCTAATGGGGCGGGACAAGCCTTTCTCCTTTTTTGTAAGCCTGCCACTTGTTGCGAAGTCGGGCACTTCGTAAAAATGAGAGGAAGCGGTCACACCGCTCCCGCGGGCCTTTGTCTGAACTCAAAATTAACGGAGCAACTGGACGTGAATCCCGGCTCCCACATGAGATCTCGCTCCACCAACCGAGAGCGTCTGTAATTATATCCACCGCATTCATAAAGTGAAAACCACTAATCTGGAGTGATTAGGCCATTTGCTGCCAGAACATGTGTCAAACTTGCGCTGGTGTTATAAAAAGTCATCTACGTGTCACTTGACGGGTCGGTGGTTGAAGCGCTTCCGGACTTATAGTTGTCTGAAATTGCTCGGACTGAGTATTGTCCTACCAAACCTCCCTCGAACTAGATCTTTCTTCTGCTCTTCTTTCTTTTGATTTTCTTGAACAACAGCAAGCAGTGGCATGGCGCTAGTCCAGCGCAAACGTGAGGTGAGCCCCCTCGAAACGCTCTTTCAGATTTGGGCCTACAAAGAATTCATCCTGCTTTGTTTGGCTTGAAACAAAGAGAAATCATCGACCCGCCCATGTCATTCCTTTCGCTCCGACTTCACTGTACCCGTCACTCGACTGTGATTCGCCCTCTACACATATATACATGGCCGTCGACTCCTCTGCGGCGACTGAAGACCGACTCAACCACACTCTTACTACCTGGAGGCCAGTATTCGTTGCCAGATTGATCTGAATAGATGACCGACCGCAAATACTCAGCGCAGTAGTTACAGGTAATTACAAAAAGAGCGATGTCGCTTCCCGGAAGCACCGAGCCCGCCCCCAAGGGAGGCCGAACGACAACGATGGCACTGTCGCCATGGAACCAAGCCGGGCCTCGGAGCTACTTCAGCACGGCCCACTGCCACCCATTGGACAACAGCAAGTCCGGCGAAGCCATCAAAAAAATCCGAGAGTCCCTGGACATACTCGTGATCGCCCGACCAGACGCCGCGGGCCGCATCTCGTTGGTCCAGAGCCCGACACAGAAGGGCACTATGGCCCTCACTATGGACCTCGACAACGACAGCATCCCCTTGGACGTTCTGCACGAGGAGGACACCTTTGGCCAAACATACGGAGAGCTGAAAGCCAAGGGCTTCCCTCCCTCGGCCTTTGTCCACCCGCGATTTTGGTACGACGGAGAGCTCCACAACGAGGACACGACCTTGCCCACATTTAGGGTCCTGGCGGTCGTCATCGAGGGCGGACTTATACTGTCCTACCACTTGCACCACGCGGTATTCGACGGCTGCTGTATGAAGACCATCTTCGAGTGCCTCGGGTCGATCGCCCGAGGCAAGGTGCCGGCGGCCACCAGGCCCAGCCAGGACACGTCTTTTATCCCGTACGACCCGATCGAGACGGACGAGGACCTCGCGCGCCTCGATCCCGCCAAGTTCCCCGACCTGGATCTCCCGGAGTTCCTGGACCTGCCGAGAGAGACCCGGGGGCCACAGGCGGCCGACTTCGATCTCCAAGGCACCGGCAGGCTGTTCAGGTTCCGCAACGACAAGCTCCGGGAGCTCCAGGCGCTCATCAAGGCCAGCGACGAGACGGGGAGGACCAGCGTGCCTACGAGCTACATGTGCTTGGCCGCCCTGACGTGGTCGCACGTCTGCAAGGCCCGCTCGGCGGCCGAGGTCCTCAAGTACCGCGGCACCACCCCGGCCTCGGCCCACCTCGCGGCGCCGCCACCCCCGAGCATGAAAATACCTGTGAACTGGAGGGGACGCGGGCTGTTCGGGAAAAGGGAGGAGGAGGCCGACTACTTCGGCAACGCGACGTACGGCGCGCTCGCCACGACCGACTCGGCGGCGCAGCTGTTCGGCGCCTGCGGTAACCCGTCGGCCCTGGCCGCCGTGGTGCGCAAGATCGAGGCAGCCGCCGAGACGCAGACGGGCAGGGACGACGTGCAGGTGCGCACGGCGCTGTACGCGAGTGTCAGGGACGTGTCGCGGGTCGCCTGGAGCATCGACCCGCTGGACGCCGGAAACACCGTAGTCAACACGTGGCGGTACCTCGGCGGCGCCGACGTGCGCTGGACCAGCGTTCCTGGCCTGCTGGACGAGAGGCCCGAGGCGGTCCGCCGGTCCATGGGGGCGTGGTGGGTCACGGGCTACAACATGATTTTGCCCGCCCGCTCCGGCTCGGAACACCAGGAGCTACTGGTCATGCTGCCGACGACGGCGGCGATGGAGGCGCTGTGCGGCGACGAGGAGTGGATGGAGTGGGTGGACGAGGTCCTGGAGTGAATAGACCTCGTTCTGGAGGCTACGAGGCTTGGCCTTTGGTAAAGGTAAGGAATCACTATAGATGGTGATGGGGTAATAGCATCAGGCATTCTTGGGGGCGGGATGGTCACATCCAGGCGTACACGGGTAATACTTTTAGAAAAAACACACGCGTTAACAATCATAGAACCATGTCAAAAATGCGGCGAGAGATGTCTGGAATCGGTGACAGGTCTTTTCTTTGTGCTGGAGTGTTGCATCTTCGGCGCGTGGGTGAATTTAACCCGCACATGGCAAGAAGGCAAGTGGAGAAAGTAACCGTGGCAGTTATAGCGGCTGGTGAGTGAAACAACTACTTTGCAGCGCAAAAAGTCGAGCCCCATGCTCGTGCTGACTGGGCACGATACGAATCGTGACAAAGGCTGGCCTGCCTCAAGACCTTGTGGGAAGATGGTCTTCAGGTTACGGCATGAGCTGTGGTCTTGCTCGGAAAATCCGACGTACACGACAGCCCTGTCTCGTGAGTCTTTACCACTGCCTCAGCCGGTGGATCGAACATCCACCCGTCTGGCGTAGGTGCGGCAGTGGCTGACCTGAATACTCTTACTGTAGGCACCGAGGCGAATATTAGCAAGTATACTTGCGGCTTTTCCGACTTCCCGATGCCTGGGAATGAGTGAGTCTGTGGCTTTGGGATAGTCTGGCGAGACAGGCCCAGATTCCAAGTTAACAAACCAATTCCAGAGTACCCGCCATCCATGATACTAAAAAACTTCTAGGAGTATATGGAAGACTATGTCAAGCACTTTGACCTCTACAAGGACATCGTCTTTGACGCAACGGTCACGCTTGTGGCCAGGAACGCGAACGATACCAAGCGGCGTGTCGAGTTCACAAAATCAGGGTCCCGTGGAGGTGCAGGAGTTTGGCAAGGCCGCGCTGTGCCATGGGTATCAGACCAAGGCCGTTCTCCAAGCCTGGCTTCACAAGGCAGCCGGCATGGGGATGGAAAATCTCAGCTGGGGCTGGAGGGGGCGGAAGTTCAGGCGACAAGGCCCCAAGATGTACCGCCTGACGTTCCTTATCATACGCTTCACTCCTTGACTTTGGGATCTTTACTCGCGCGGCTTCCGTGATGTGTACTAGGAGGATGATCGTATCAACCCCGTCACCTTTTCAAAGACCTGGCCGTTGCAGTTGACTCTTGCCACAGCCTGAGCTGGCCCATGGCAGCACAGGGCTCGAGAGCAAATTTCCAGCTGGCGGTGGTGGTTTAGGCGGGAGGAAGGAGTGATGGAGCCGAAGGCTCCTTCCGTTTCGGCGATTTCCAGCATATAAGAACCACCGTCTGCAGCCAGCAGCCGCACCTACATTTTCCTGCTCGACACCCATCTCTCGCTCATCCAGAAAAGCGACAATCCTCTTGAGCACGCGCATCAGCAAGCACACCCGTGTCACTCCCTCTGATCATACCCGCGATGCAGCTCGCCAAGCTTTTCGGCCCCATCCTTGTCGCCCTCGTCGGCGAGGCTCTGGGCGCGCCCGCGGATGTCGAGGCCTCTTCCGTCTCTTCTCAGGCGTCCCCTACCACCTTGATCAAGACTACGAGCACTGATATCGGTCCGCGCCCGAACCTGGTGTGCAAGCCTACCGGACCTGGCTACTGCACTCTGGAGATCTACTCGGCGCGCCCGCCCGTCGGCCGCGTCGTCGTCCTCTACGACTACAACTGCGACACCATGGTTAGTGGATCTGCTTGAAGTGGACTTCAAGCCATAGAGAATCGCTGACACTTCCCGGCTCACCACACGACAGGGCATCTGGCCTGCCGGCAGTGGCGTCCTCCCTGCCAACGGCGAGTGGTCTCTCCACTCCCGGCTCCCGTACTCGGTCGAGCTGAAGCTTCACGGCGATGACCTCGAGCCCCAGGGCGAAATCTGGTACAAGGGCCGCAAGACGGACATCAACGCGGGCTGGCGCTACAACTGCAACGACTTCAGCAACGACACCGAGTGCCTCCGCCTCGCTTTCAACTGCTCTTGAGCCATCTCGAAGAATCTTCCCCGAACTGTGCACTGGGGACATGTCAGCTAGCTGCCGATTTGGCCTGATGATCTCATTATCCCGCGAGTGGAAATTTTAGAGGGGAGAAGTCTTGGAGTCTGGATGAAAACGCAAGTCGAGGTGATTGGCGGGAAATAGTATGGCGTGGAGGATGGCGAGTCTTGGGCTCGGAGCAAGATTTTCACACCTTTTTGAGCCTGTCTACTGCTCATGGGGCAATCAAAATGCAGTCTGCGGCAATTATTAACTCTTAACGCGATGCCTTTTTCGAGAAAGCAAGATATGGTGAAGGGTAGAAGAATGAGCGAATGTCACAGTGATGGATGTGGCACCGGGAGAAGCCCACAGCTGACATAAGCATCATGCACCCCAAACTCTAGCAACCCACAGAAGCTCCAGCATCCAACAGCACCAGCCGCCAGTGGGTGGGTGCTCGCCTGATTTCAATGACAGAATTGAGGCGATTCAACCTCGCAACAAGCAGCGACACCCGCTAGCCTACCCATTACCTGCCGGTCTGATGAGTTGACAGACGGTCCACCGACATGCCGGGCCCGCGACCATTGCTGCCGGGCGTCGGTGCCCTGGACAATGTCTGCTGGAGGTGTTGCAGGCGCCGGCTGCCTGCCAGGCAAAGATTTCTAGCCCCTCTCTCGACCACAGCACGGCCAAGATCTGCGGCTGGTGGTGGTGCTCCCTCGGCCCCGGCGCAGTCGCCTCGGGTGAAGGGCGCATATTTCCTGTCCAACACGCTACTCGACAGATTCGGAGGCATCCAGTTCAGACCAAGGGCGCGCAACATGGGCGCGGCTGCTGTGACGTCGCGCCCACCAGCAAAACCCGCCAGCAACACCTTCAGCTCATCACCATACCCACGAGGCGCGGACGAGCCACCCCCGAGCGCCGCCTCCACTACGACCCATGACGTATTACCACATCGACGGCGACAGGCCGCGAAACGTGCCGCCGACCCCTCCACTTCCGCCACATCAGGCCCCGACAAGCCCTCCTCCTCCTCCTCCCCCGCCGACGCACCCCTCCCGCCCGATGCGTCCTCGATCCTAGCCGAGGCGGCGGCCAAGCAGCCAGCCGACTCGCTCCGGCGTAAGCTCTCGGCGCTGCTCTCGCTCTCCAAGCCGCGCCTCACCTTCCTCGTCGTCCTCTCAGCCATGGCGCCCTACGCCCTCTACCCCGTCCCCGCCTTCCTCTCGCCAGGCGCCGCCGAGGCCACGCTCCCGTCCCTCTCGCCGCTCACGCTGCTCTTCCTCACGACCGGCACAACACTCTGCTCCGCCGCCGCCAACGCCCTCAACATGCTCTACGAGCCGCGCACCGATGCCCTCATGAGCCGCACGCGCGCCCGCCCGCTCGTGCGCGGCCTCGTCTCCACCCGCGCCGCGGTCCTCTTCGCCGTCGGCTGCGCCGTCGCCGGCGTCGCGGCCCTGCACCTGGGCGTCAACCCGACGGTGGCCTTCCTGGGCGCGGCCAACATCGCGCTCTACGCGGGCGTCTACACGCCCATGAAGCGCCTCTCGGCCGCAAACACGTGGGTCGGCGCCGTCGTCGGCGGCATCCCGCCCTTGATGGGCTGGGCCGCCGCCGCGGGCGAGTCGGCCGTGGGCGACGGCTCCTGGCGCGAGCTCCTCCTGGCTCCCGACGGCTCCAGCGCCGGCGGCTGGCTCTTCGCCGCCCTCCTCTTCGCCTGGCAGTTCCCCCACTTCATGGCGCTGTCGTGGGGCGTGCGCGACGAGTACCGCACCGCCGGCCTGCGCATGCTCGCCTGGACGAATCCGGCCCGCAACGCCCGCGTCGCCCTCCGCTACGGCCTGCTCGGCTTCCTCCCCATCTGCGTCGGCCTCTGCGCCGTCGGCGTCACGGACTGGTCCTTCGCCGTCACGTCGCTGCCCGTCAACGTCTGGCTGGCGCGCGAGTCGGTCCGCTTCTGGCGCCTGCGCGGCGCCGGCGGCAGCGCCCGGGGCCTGTTCTGGGCCAGCGTCTGGCACCTGCCTGTCGTCATGGTGCTGGCGCTGCTGCAGAAGAAGGGCATGTGGGGCCGCGTCTGGCGGAGCCTCACGGGTGAGGGGGAGCTTGTTGGGGACGACGACGACGAGGGGTGGGAGTACGTCGAGGACGACGATGGCGGTGGGGCCAAGTGAGCCGATGTATCGCGAGAGGGGACCAAACGCGCGCATGCGCACACACAAAGTATCACCTCATCTCCGGTGCCCCATACCTACCTACCTACGTACGCATGTCAGCCTGATGGTCTTGGCGCCTCCTGCCGACGCTCTTTACCGATCGCGACCCTCTTCCCACGTTACCATGTTCAAAGAGCCGCCAGGGCGGCGTGTCGCTGAAGCGCGGTACTTGTGTAAAACAAATAGCAAAAGAAGTCAAAAAAAAAAATCCACTCATGTGTTCGAGCGAGGCGTTTCCCCCCGCGTGGGGCAAGCGCTTTTGGTGCAGCGGCGGCTTTCAAAGCTGGCTTCTTGGCGCGAGACAGAGACAACACACGGGGAACGCTTTGGAAGAGCACAAGACCCGCGCAGCAAGCGTGGGCGCTTGGAATCAGGGGCGGCTGGGGGAGAGAGAGAGCGCTTCTGTGGGGTCCAGCGCGTAAATTCGCCGACCACACACGCGCAAGATGGTACCTAGATGCAACAACAACCCCAGGATACACTGCAGCTTGCACCGATCCGTTGACCTGAAACTCGGGGAGATTTGGTCTAGTACTAAATTCTTTTTTTGAGTTCTCACCCGGTGGGTTGTACAGCCCTCGCTTCCTTCTCTGCTGCTCCTCTTTGTCGTGCATGATGGGTGTCAGACCAACAAGAGCTTGGGTCGACCTGTGGGCCATGGGCGAGGGCGCGCGCCTCGCATCAAAGCCCCAAAAGAAACAAAGAAACAGGTAATCTTGAATAGCCCCTGGAATGCACCCGTCGACTGTCAGTCAAACAGTGACAACTTGTCTAATTGCACGTGGTCCTCAAAGTACCAACTTCCCGTGTCTACTGAAACCCCGATCCGCGCAATTTGGGGGTGCATGCCGAGATGATGGATGCGGCGATGATTCTTTCTGTTACTTTATTTAGGCCCGCACCCGCCTCGGGGGAAACGCCACGACAGGCCCATTTGGGGACGAGCAATATGGGCATGAAAATCCCGAAGCCCGTTCCTGGAGGATCACTGCGAAACAGATGTTGAGTGGGATAAATGCGAGTGTAATCATGGGCTTCGTTTGTGAGCCCAAAATAGAATTTGTGCTGCTGTCTTCTCTATAGCTCAGCTTTTACTCGTATGTGTGAAATTGCAATGCGGCGAGCCGGCCCTCTCGTACTCGAGCAGAGAGTCTCGATCGGCATCTTTCGAGAGCAGACAGCCGTGTTTAGCTAATAGTACAAGCGTTTTGATCACGCCTGGGAATCCAAAAGATAATGTGTGGGTGAACAAACTGTGACAAGAAGAAAATAGACAACAAGAGCAACGCCTCCTCTGGGGAAAACACCTATTTCGCCGGAACTCCTTGACAATATTCGGGGTTTTCTCCCGAACCCGCCCAAGATAAAAAAAATAACTAAAGGCAAACCGGCACGAAGATGAAATCCAAGCAAAAACAGTTTGGAAAGCCAGATCCAGAGAAGTGGGGAGAAGCCAAGGCCAAGTGCAGTGAGCGTGTGTTCCTCAAAAGTAGCAGAACAATCGAGGGTGTGATTAGGCGCTGAATGCTTGTTATTCTGAGAGGATGGATGTGGAGGGTTGAAATGGGATGACAAAGGAAAGGGAGAAAAAGGAAAATCATTATGGTCATAAGTTTTGGCCAAAGTCCATGGGATGTAAAAAAGTAAGAAGGAAGCGTATGTGATGCGCCGTACCATGCATTCGATGGCTCTCTAGTCAAGTTGAGAAAGGAGATGCCGGGGTGGGAAATATGCAAGGTGAATAACCGGGGGGCCCGCCAGGAGGATAGGTGATAAGGAAACTTGGTCGGTATGTGATGACAAGTAGTGAGTGTGGGCGCAAGGGAATCGAGATGGGGTTGAATGCCGCTAGAGGGCATCATCTTGGAGGGCATCTTCGTAGTCGTTGCTCGGGTCCTGCGGGCACAGGGGCGGGTCCATGAGGTTGAGGCCCATCACTGGCGACCCCCCGAGCCCCGGCTGATCAGGTTGTTGATCCCCATGTCCACGCTGGGCAGACGGGCGCCGTGACCCAGGTAAGGGCTGGGGCTGTGGCTGCCCACGCTGCCGCCCCCCGCGTTGCCGTACCCGGCGGTCCCTGTGCTCGAGACGGAGTTGCTGTACCCGTGATGATGGTGCTGATGATGATGCGATGGCTGATGTTGATGGTGTCCCGTGTAGTAGCCGCCGGGGGCGGCCGCGTATCCGTTTCCCGAATGCGATGCTGGGCCGTAGGCGCTGCTGCCGGTGCTGCCCGGGCCGCTGCCAGCAGACGACGGTGATGAGAAGGGAAGTTCCTGCTCGTCGATCGGGGTCATTCCAATCCCGGAGACCGCGCCGTCTTCATCATACATGCCGTGGCCCCCGTCGGCCCTCTCGCGGCGGGTGGCGTGACGGGCCGCCGACTGTAGGTTCTTGATACCGTTCGACATGCACTATCAAGCGGAGAACAAGCTAGGATCAGCACATCTGCATGAAAAAAAATATGGCCAAGAGCTTTTTGGTGGGTAGGTACCTTTTGCTCGACAACATTCCACTTCTCGCCGGTAGCCTGGGCAAGCGGGGCCCAAATCTGCTTGCGCATGTTCATATACTCCCTAGCCAGGCGCTCCAGCTTGATGGTGTCCCAGTCGTCAGCGCCCTTGCGCTCCATGAGGCGCTCGTGGCGCTTGCGGCACGCGTTGGCAGTCTTGTTGGGGAAGTGGTTGGTCATGATGGTGCCCCAGTTGAGGCCTTGGGCGCGGGCCCTGATGAGGGCCTGGTCGTCCTCGGCAGTCCATGCGCCCGAGGACGCGCGGTGTTGTGTGGGTAGCGCGCTGGTGTAACCACCGCTGCTTGTCTGTATGGCGAGCGGCGGGGCCACGGCATACTGGTGGTCGTACGAGGCAACCGGCATGGAGGCCTGGCCGGTGGGCGTGGCCGAGAGGGGGTGTTCGTAATAACCGGTCGCCATGGCCTGACCCCGGGAACCGTAGAACTCCATCTGTTGGGTGTTGGTCGGGATGCTGCTGGGCATCTCAAGAGAGTCGGAGGCGTAGCGAGAGTGATTATGGCTGGAGCCGTGTGTGATATTGGGCATGCTAGACAAGCCTGGCTTGTCCTAAATATGCGTGGCGGTAAGTCAACGCTGGAGTGAACAGGTCTCGGTAGTCGAGGATTTGTTTGTTGTGTAAGCCGGGGGGAAAGGAGGATAGGTGAAGGAGCCCCGAGCAGTTCGTATCAAACGAATGGCTGGCCAGCAACGACAGACGCTGGGGAAAATACTGGTAGTAATATGAGAAGATAGGAGAGTCGAACCGAAGGAGAGCGGACAAGAAAGGAAAGTAACGAAAGTTGTATGTGACGATAAGGAAAATGTGGTTGGGGTATCTGATGTCTGGAAAGAGGACAAGACCCAGACGGCCATGAAGCGGCCGTCTGACTTTATAAAAGGAGATGCGAAGACAGAGTGGACCGGCCAAAAGTAGAAGCGGCAAGGCGCGTCGTAGAGCGAGAGACTCGACTGGGGCCTGGCGTTGCTGCGATGCAATGGCACAGCAGCAGGCTGGGCATGCAGCGAGGTACGTAGCCGTCAGGGAGGAGCAAGACCGGGTAAGGCAAAGGCTGCCGATCTGAAACATGGGTACATCAAGAGCTGGCTGGCGGCATGAAACCCACCCAGCTCGTGTGTCCGAAAGGGCAGATGGGACAGCCTTGGGCCGCTGATATTGGCTGGGTGGTTTCGGATGGCGTCTGTCTGAAGTTGGGCGGCTACGAGATGGCCAGCTGTGGGTCGCGCGAGCATGGTGTGGGAGGGCGGCTAGCCGTTCATGTGTGCGCGCCTTAGCGGCTCATCAAAACAGACAGCGCCCATCCGCCCACCCACAGCACCAGACGCATGATGATGGAGAAGAAGAAAAAAAAACGGAGATTACCCCTCGGATGCGGTCCAGAAACAGCCATCATCAGGCCAAGCGACTGCGCGATGGGATTAACAAAGACGACAGCGGCAAAGGGAAGAATTTTTCAAATGTGCATGCAGGCTGAGGTTGGACTACCACCTTTTCCTGTCCGCATCTTAGCGGCTTGGCATGTACAGCAAATTAACAGCACCAAAGAGTGAGATTGCCTCGAAGACTGTTCTGCACAGAGGGGAGTGAGCAGGTGCCTATTCGGTGAGCTCTCCATCAAACTTGACGGACGACCTCGAGGTATTCTGGGCTCGGGAAATGGCAGACGGGAGAGGGAAGGAGCCCCGAAATAGCCACAGGGGTTGGAGCTGGGGGCAAGGGGACAGCTGGGCGCCTATTCGGCAGCCTTGTGCAGCGGACGAAGCCTCGTCCGACTGGATGCTGGCTCCTCTGCTTTAGCAGCCGCTTTCGCATCGTACACAATGATGTAGCCAGGTATGATCCGTCCGGCTTCCGTCCTAAATCGAGACCAACCCGCCAGGGTACCAGGGTGCCAGGGGCCCTCTGCATGTAAGTAGCCAGGTTCGGCCGCCGGGTAGGAGGGGACGGGATATGTGCGTGGGAGTGGTGGTGGGGTGGGCGGCAGCAGCGCCAGGACAGCGGCAGCGTCAAGGGGGAACAAAAGATGGTCGGGCCGACATGGAGGAGCACGGGCTTTGTGTTCTGGCAGCGTGTCGCGGCAAACAAGCGACAAACGCAGCGTAACCGCGACTTGAAACAAGAAACAATCGCGGCTGGTCGTCCTGCCGGGCCGCGGGGGAGGAGGCAGAGCTGTTGGCAGGGGCAGAGAACAAACGCAACATGAACACACGGACCGATGAGCAAGGTGGGACTTGGTGGTGGACATGATCTCCTCCAGGGCTAGGCACATACGCCAACAGGCGGGAGTCAGGGCGCTTGTGGAGCGCGGCTGGCGGCAAACGACAGGGCTAGCCAGCGTATCGCGGGGGGTGGAGATGGCGCCAGACGGTATTCCCAGGCGAGGCGCGGGAGCAGAGGCCAGCCCGAGATGAAGGGGCAAGCAGCGAGGGCATGGTGCAAATAGACAGGTCAAATCTCCTCTGTCGAGTCTCCTCTGTCGAGCGTTGGGGTCGGCTCATGGTAGCAGTCGGTCAGCAGAGGCGAGGGCGGCGGCGGCCAGCAGCAACGGCCAGCAGCAACGGCGTGCTGCCCACACTCAGGTCGCGCGTGCGAAGCGATCATCCGCTGCAATGCAGACATGGATCTAGGGCTGGGGCTTGGTGCCGATGAACTGATGCTGGTCACGGTTCACCTGACCGAGAGGCTCGTTTGAGTGGCTGGATCCTCTTTGGGCTTTGGAGCTGATCTCGCTCACTGTGCTCGTGCCTGCCTCCGCTCGGCGTGGCTGGAACTCAAATTTCGGGTGCTAGTACAGTGCGAAGGCGAGTCATCCACAGGTCGAGGAATGGGCAAGTGCCATAGAAAAAAGAGGGAAGCGCCACACCACTACTTCAGGGCAGGAAATGACGATACATCCAAAACGCAGCAGCCAGAGGTGAGATGAGCCGCAAACGTTATTTGGAGAACCTGCCGCTTTTTGGGATTGGTGACCCAGCGGCAGTGCTCAACCGCGTCGTGTATATGGTTACGCAAAATGGAACAGCAGGAAAGCTCCGTGCGAGAAGAGGAAGGAGCCCGTTGCTATGCGCCAAAGTATCCATGTAAACTGGAGACTGGCGTTTACAGAGTCCAGGGCGGTTAAAATAAAACAAGAACCCCAGTCCAGACCCCACTCCAAGCATCCGTGGACCCTCCTGGCTGACCAAGTCCCCTATTTTGGGCGCCGGCTCACGTGCCTTTGCTCCCATTGGTTCTCCAGTAAAGCATACGACCCACTGAAGGAGCGCCTGCAGATGGCGCGATTGGCTTTGAGGGGCTTGCAGACAGGCATCGGAATAGCGCCCGCTTGGGGGATTTTGGGCATGGAGGAAATGAGCTTTGACGAACAGCGCGCCTCGACTTTGTGGAAACACCTCTTGTCGGTTTGGCCCAGTTATGGACTTTTTCCCGCCATTCCCACGCGGCCATTCGGCGGGCCTAGTCTCCTAGGAGCTTGGCCGTCAATCGGGTCTCCTCCGACGCATTTATCCACCTTAGCGCGATGTCTTGTCGCGACAGTAGACTAGACAGGGGCCATGGCTGGTCCTTCAATCCATCTATCTGCGTGGAGTTGGCGGAGCAGACTCCGAGACCAGGTCGTTGTCTGTAGCGATCGTGGGTTTAGGCATGTCTGCTGTTGACACTGAGCCTTATCTCAAGCCATGCACTCACGGGATATTAGTATATCGGTGCTTTTGTTTGCAAAACTAGTTCCCATCGCTTTAGGCCCGAATTGTTGTCGTGATGAGGGCTGGAGCGGCTGGTTATCGTTGAGCATGTGTGGCTAGTGGTTAAGCCCTCAGCCTCTTGGATGCGTAGATTTCGCTTGCGCCACCACTGCTAGACCCCCACGGCTCCAAGGGACAAGCATTGCTCAATCCCGACGGCTCGTTGGGCGGTCGGGAGTGGCTTGCCAAGATTGTGTCGGCACGGCAAATACTCTGTAATCAAGCTGCCCCATCACAATGACTAGTGCTCTTCAACGACGTCGATAGCTCTCGGGCTTGGAGAGCATTATCGCACCCAAAAGAGTGAGAGTCTGAGAGAGCCTGGCTCAAGGGCTGCACGAAGTCGTCGGGCCCAACAACCAAACAGTGGCGACCAGGCGCACTTTGTCTGCTGCGCTTCCCCCGCGCACATACCACTACTCCATGTGAACATACATGCAGCGCCTATCGGGAAAAGGGACGGATTCTTTATTCTATCTGTCGGTACCACTTGACCCCGAGCAGACAGCCGACGAGAAAAGGGCCGATGTCTGGACGCCACATACAAGCCTACCGGTTGCAGAACCAGAACGTTGGATGCCGTTTGCGGGGTCTGGGGACCAGCGGATTGGTGCTGAAAGCAACACGTCCAGGGTAGGCATTCAGGCTAAAGTTGGCCCATCCATGTGCTGCTCTCCAACCCGTCCATACGGCCGCCGGGATAATACGTCCCACTCGACACCCGTGGACTCTGCCGTGTTTAGCTCCTATGGAGCTCCATTAACTCCGATTTCCCCATATTTCGACCGGCATTTAGCCCCGTCAGCGCGCAGAGCGACGGCGTTTGTGTGAAGTATCGTCCTGTAGCCTATTTCTCCAGCCCGTTATTTTTTCAAAGAGGGCACTTCATATATCTGAAGTAGCAAGATCGGCCGCCAATGCCAAGAGCAGGCAAAGCCAAGATATCAGTCAGGCACAAGAGGCCAGGCAGTATGGCATCTTGATACTCCGCCGACTTGTGAAAGGCGACACTCGAGAGAGATTACCATGCTTGCCCGTCGGGACGAAATGCTTGGTTCACAGCCAAAAGCGGAAGCAAGATACCTCCCTTGCCATCATCCATCCGCTTCTCCGCACCTCCGCACACGCCCCCCCTCCATCGCCAGCCTCGATGCCACCATGACATGCAGGCCTCGCTGCGATAGGAGCACCTTATTAGCCCCCACCCCTGTCGTGTCTGCCCAACCTCCATCCAAGAGCTGCTCTTCCCCCCTAGTAGAAGCGAAACCGGCCGTTGGAGAGCGAGGCCCGCATGTTACCCTTGGGAGGTTTCCCCAGACCTCCCTAAGATCCTTTGGGGGACCGACCGCTCCGTGACGGCAGCGGAGGCTGGTGGGTGGTGGGCACCTCCTCTCGCGTGGGAAGGCCCCACGGAGTTCGAGATCGGCTGGGATGCAACCTAAAGCGGTGCCAGGATCGAGAGCTCTGCGTCGATACCCCTATTTACCCCGAGTCCGAGCCGGGTTCTCCAACGGCTTAGCGTGGGGTTTTGGTCATGAGCAACAGTCCGCTGTCGGGAGGAACAGCAGCTATATATTTCTCCGCCAGTCCCGGTTGTGTTTCTGGTGGCCCCTACGGCTCGCCTCCATTCTGCCCAACACAGGCGCGGGGAAAAAAAGCGTGTAACTCGCCAAACCCAACTCCGGGTGAAAAAAGTAACAATACTGGCAAGATCAGACACACAGAATTGGTGAAAGATGGCTGGCGGCGGCGGCTCCGGCACGGCGTTTTACGATGCCGCGCTTCAAAAGCGCCAGGCGATGATGGGGGCGAGCGGCGCCCGGGCTCTGCTCAAGAACTTTAGGGTCTTCCGCATCGCCGCCTTTGCCTGCATCGGCGGTGTCCTCTACGGCTACAACCAGGTAACTATCATGGCCCCGATGTGCCAGCATCCAGTCGGCTGCGCCGCCCGCCCGCTCTTCTTGTCGCTGACGCAGCCTAGGGCATGTTCTCGGGGGTCCTGGCCATGCCTTCGTTCCAGGCTCGTGAGTACCCGACCCTTCGCTACCCAGCCTAACCGCATATCGCCGCGACATGTTAATAACCGAGTGTTCCCATTCTGTGGTAGATATGGGCGAGTGGGACCCGGTCGACCCGAACGCAGACCAGTCGAAGAAGGGATGGCTCACGGCCATCCTGGAGCTCGGTGCCTGGATCGGTACCCTTCTGTCTAGCTTCATGGCCGAGATCTTGTCCCGAAAGCACAGCGTCCTGGTTGCCACGGCCGTCTTCATCCTCGGTGTTATAATCCAGGCCACCGCGGTCCAGGCCGGACACGAGGTTATTCTGGCTGGACGGTTTATCACGTTGGTTCCCTCCCTGCTTCTGACATGGGACATCTCACGAATACTAAATCCCGACTCTTGATACAACAGGGGTATGGGCGTCGGAAGCTTGGCCATGATCATTCCCATCTACAACTCCGAGGTCGCTCCCCCCGAGGTCCGCGGCGCGCTGGTTGCCACGCAGCAGCTTTCCATCTGCTTCGGCATCATGGTCAGCTTCTGGATTGACTAGTGAGTACTACAGCTACATGCATGTCCCTTGTGTGTCCATGGTCGCGTAGCTAACCATGGGGCCCAACCAACCAAGCGGCACCAACTTCATCGGAGGCACCGAGCTCGGCCATCAACAAGACGCCGCCTGGCTGACCCCCACGACGCTCCAGCTCGCGCCGGCCGTGGTCCTCTTCGTCGGCATGATCTTCATGCCCTTCTCCCCGCGCTGGCTCGTGCACCACGGGCGCGAGGAGGAGGCGCGCAAGGTGCTCTCGCACCTGCGCGAGCTGCCGTCGGACCACGAGCTCGTGGAGCTCGAGTTCCTCGAGATCAAGGCGCAGTCGCTGTTCGAGAAGCGCACCATCGCCGAGCACTTCCCGCACCTGTCGGAGCCGACGGCGTGGAACACGTGGAAGATCCAGTGGGTCGCCATCGGCAAGCTGTTCCAGAGCCGGGCCATGTTCAAGCGCGTCATCGTCGCGACCGTCACCATGTTCTTCCAGCAGTGGACGGGCATCAACGCGGTGCTGTACTACGCGCCCACCATCTTCAACCAGCTCGGGCTCGACAGCACCACCATCTCGCTGCTCGCCACGGGCGTCGTCGGCATCGTCATGCTGCTCGCCACCATACCCGCCGTGCTCTGGATCGACCGCGTGGGGCGCAAGCCCGTGCTCACCGTGGGCGCCATCGGGATGGGGACGTGCCACATCATCATCGCCATCATCCTCGCCAAGAACATCGGCCGCTTCTCGGAGCAGGTCGCGGCCGGGTGGGCTGCGGTGGTCATGGTCTGGCTATTTGTCATTCACTTTGGGTATTCTTGGGGTCCATGCGCCTGGATCATCATCGCCGAGATCTGGCCCCTGAGCTCCCGGCCATATGGCGTGGCGCTGGGGGCTTCGAGCAACTGGATGTAAGTCGCGTCGTCTCTGCAGATGTGTCTCGCAGAGTTTTGTGACTAACACCTGCTCTATACAGGAACAACTTCATTGTCGGCCAGGTGACTCCTATCATGCTGCAAAGCATCACGTACGGCACATATCTGATTTTTGGCATCCTGACATTCATGGGCGCTGGATTCATCTGGTTCTTCGTGCCCGAGACAAAGCGGCTCACGCTCGAGGAGATGGTGAGTACTTGGGCGCATAGCTTGCGCTTCAAACCAACCAACACCCTATATGCGTCAATTTTGTATTATACCTCAAAGTTGGATTCTAACCATATTTTCTACCACAGGACATCATCTTCGGTTCTCAAGGAACGGCCCAGGCCGACATTGAGCGCATGGACGAAATCAACCGCGAGATTGGTCTCACGGCCCTCCTCCAGGGAGAGACGGGTGCCGGCAGCAGCGACCACGGTGTGGACGTCAAGGAAAAGATGGAGAAGACCGAGGCTCGGGTCTAGAGGGAGCCCATATGGGGGGTGTGCGATCCTGGGTGCTGGTGTCTTGAGATTTGCTGTGAGAATACTTGGAGTTGGGTGATGGCCGAACTATTCCTGTATCCCCAAAATCTAACCACCCATCTTCGAGATGGCTTTGGTGTCATTCATCCATCGCATGCGGCTGTCTCGCGACCAGGACAGGATGAGCTTCACATCGTATTGAGCCTTTCAGTTCTGCCAAGAGCTGGACGTAACCTCTGGGTGGGGGTACTGAAGGAATGCTTCCCTCTCAACATGACGCGCGCACTTTCAGGAATCATACACGTCCAACATTTTCTACACGCTAGTCGTCCAACCTATCGTAAAACCAGGACATTTTGAACAGATCTATTGACGTGAATGCGACGCTCAAATGTCATTATGTTTTTCTCTACACTACCATCTCAACCCATTACCGAATGAGGGAGCCAGATGGAGGGCAAGGCGAAGCTTATGCCTTGATTGCGTTTCCTTTCCTTTTCCGTTCTTCCCTTTGTCCCTCCCTTCAACAACAATCACGTCGGGCCCGGTCGCGAATGGGCTGCCATTTTTATTTGGCCATTCCAGTCGCCTTGGGTCAAATTGGCAAAGGGATCGCATCCTCTTCCAAATTTCTGCCCCAGTGCTCTCTTGCTGTCGCCAATGGATACTACCGGATCTTTGGTGACAGCCAATGTCAATGTCAACTTGCATTTGTCCTAATCCTCTAATGCCGAACTCGGCCACCATTGCTTGGTTTGCTCGCGTCCTCTTCTCCTCTGACCCTTGCCTCTTTGTAGTATCTTGTGGGAGCTTATGGTCACGGACACCTCGAGTATCCTGAACGTTGTCCTAGATCAAGAGTTGCGTATTTTCTATTGATGCCACATTCACCCGAGTGAGAGGGCACTACCTTGCTTGTCGCCATCTCAGATCACTTGCTCAGAGAGGCCGTTTGCAGCCAGGGACATTTGTTTGTCCTCTAGGGCTGGGCTCAGTTGCGGCCCTCCCGGGGGCACCGCCATTGTCCCTATCCCGGATAGGGATGCAGAGTGAAAAAGGGGCGGCAACGGGGTGGTAGGGGAACGCCGGGAATGCAGGCACACAACGTCCAATCTCTCCCTAGGAATGGTGGGAGTTCTCCCAGTCGACTAGCCGCAAGCCTCCCTACGACGCCATCAAGTGTATCCATTCCATCACGTCTTTGTTTGTGTCTGACGCGCCTGGACGCAAACATCCCTCTTCTGATTGCCCTTGGCTCATGTTTCCTCTTCACCCCCTTTCTCATTTCGATTTCCTTTCTCGCGTCTTCCCCGTTTTATCCTCATCCTGCCACACCCTGAGGGTTGAGGGTGAGGCTGTCTTTGGTCGTTAGTGAGAACATATCGAAGCTATATCCTTGGTTACGAAATCACAGAATGTCCCTAAAGTCCATCTTTGGCGGGGGGCCCGCGGCCAGCGCAGACGCGACGCCCGCCCCAAACGAGACGGAAGAGGCGGCGCCAGCGCCTCCCCAGCCCGTCCCCGACAAGCGAGCCGAGATCAAGGCGCGGTGGAGGCTCGGGGTATCCTGCAGCGACAAGGAGTTCCAGAGCAAGGTCGACGAGTTCACGGCCATGTTCAAGGGGAGGCACCCGCTGCCGCTCGACGAGGTGCTGGACGAGCACTTCACGGAGCACGAGAAGGCCATGTTCACGCGCGCGCCCAAGGACTCGGAGCTCGAGCGGCTGCAGCGCGGCTACAGCCGCAAGTACCACAGGCTGCTCCGCAGCGCGCGGTTCTGCGGCGCCAAGGTGGCGACGCCGGGCGAGGCCAGGGCCACCAAGCTCGCCATGCTGTACTTTGGCCTCCCCGTGTCGCCCTGGGACAGCATGGAGGTCGACCGCGAGCCCCCCAGCGACAGCGAGGACGAGTACGTCGGGGAACGCGAGCCGTCGGGCGCGCTGCGGTGGCTGAACGCGTACACCAAGCGCACCTACGGCATGCCTGTCGATCGCAGTAGGTTTGGTTTTTTTTGTGGTGTTCTTTCCTGTACTAGCGTGTTGGCCACAGTATTCTAACACTGGAACAGATGCGTTGGACCCCAAATGCGAAGAGTACTACGCGCCCATGGGCACCAACTCCTGCCGCGTCAAAGGTGATGGCTGGTTTTGGCACTTCAAGAAGGACATGGCATCTCTGCGCGGCGGCGGCTCGTATCAGGTTGCCAGCGACTCGGAAGATGAGCCTGTACAGCCGACGGGCCCATTCTGGCGGCTTCACGGACGTCGGGGCCAGGTTGTGTTCCACGATCTGGACTCGTTTCGCCTTGCCGTAGACCGGCTGCTGGGACTCCGCCAACGCGGCGGCTTTGAAGTCCTTCTAATCGTGCGCGACGACACCAAGCTGCGGAGCACGCCCGACTATCAGAAGTTCACAACCGAGACAGAGGACGAAGATGGCATCTTCGTGGACTACATCAAACGCTTGGATCCGGGGGCAAACAGACGCACCTACTACCTGACCCTGCCCGACATGGATTACCCCAAGCCGCCCCAGTGGATACCCGACAAGAACGACAGGAATATCGTGAGAGTGAGGCGGGAGGGCGACGTCAGCGGCGAGGTCGCCTACCTCAACATAGTGCCGTTTGCGAACCGGCACTTTGCCCTCAACCCGGAGCTTGGGTCCGAGCAGTTCACGTCGTACCTCTGCGACGTGGCCAAGCTCCTCATCCCCGGCACGACGTCGGGCGGCCAGAGCGTCGTCCACAGAACCGTCCAGGTGCGCGCGGGCAACTTCACGGCCAACAGCGTCGGCGGCCTCAACCTCACCGCGGATATCCTCGGCCTCCTCCACCAGCACGCGACGGGCGCCGCCGACGCGGAGCTGACCATCAGCTGCCCGGAGCCGCAGAAGGACGGCCGGCGGAACTGGCGCATCTACATCCCCGGCGTGTGCGTGCCCGACCAGAGCCTCGCGAGCTTCGCCTTCAACCCGCGCAAGGCCAGGGGGAGGCTGGCCGACACCCTGCGCAGGCTCCTGGGGTCCGTCATGGGCGCCGACTACGACAAGATCAGCCACGTGGAGATCTTCTGCCCCGGCGAGCGCATGCTGCGGACCCTCGACAGGGACGAGCCGGGCCCCTTCGACTTTGACATCGGCCGGCAGGACGCCGGCGTGGACGAGACCCTGGAAACGTCGGTCTCCTTCACCGGCCTCATGGAGGAGAAGCGCCCGCAGAACAGGGCCTTTATGGGCGTCCGGCCCGTGTTCGAGGAGTACACGGCGATCATGCGGGGCAGGGGAGGAACGTTCAGCGAGCGCGGCCGACCTAGCTTCAAGTTCGCCACCCCGTCCAAGCGGTGGTCGGGCTGCACGCTGGAGGAGTTTCGGGAGCTGGTGCTCGACAACAGCCTTTGCCCCGAAGACACCAACCCGAACAACAGCGACATCTACATCAGCCAAGTCCAGCCCGGCGTCGTCCAGGAGCCCGACTCGGAGAACTGCGTGGCCGGGTCGCGCAACCCCATCCTCATACGTCACGACATGGACGAAGGGAACTGGGCCGTCATAACGCGTCTCATCGTCTCAAGAACGCTCTACGTGCAGAGGGCGACCCCAGCGACCGAGGGCGATCTGGAGGACCAGGAAGCAGCGCCGTATGGCTTCTCAAACAGGATGTGGAACTCTGGTACGCAGCGCGACGGACTATTCCCCCCGATCCAGCCTATCGGGCGAGGACTGGTCGGCCCAGCCCGCTCCGACAACGGAACCAAAGCCCAGGGAGCCACGCGCAAGGCGGCCTGGGCTGCAGAGGCGGAGATGCTCAAGGACCAGCCCGAGCCGGCGTTCCTCCGGCGGCCGCCCACCTACTCCACCAAGTACCCCCTCTCGCAGGCGGAGCGCGACGCGGCGGCGCGCAAGGCGTACTTTCCCGGCCCCATCTCCGTCTACGAGCAGTCCGGGCCGCGGCTCCCGCAGCCCGGGCCGCCGGTCGAGCAGTTCCTGAACACGGGGCCGAGCGTACCATCGATCAGCCGGTCCATGATGACGGCGACAGAGCAGCGGCAGCTGTCCAACGCCTTCGTCAAGATGCGCAACATCGCCGTCGGCCGCGAGTACGCGTGCCCATTCAGGGGCTGCGAGGAGACCTTCCGGGTCGGCGACACGGACGCCATCCACGCGCACGCCGAAAGGTGCCACGCGGTCGAGAAGTGCAACTTTTGCGACGAGCGCCTGTACCGGCACTGGGACGCCGAGCAGCGGCACCGCCACTTCGCCCTCAAGCACGCGGACCTGTTCACAAAGGGGTGGTACGGGGACGTGGACAGGACGGCCGGGCTGGGCCTCGTCTTCGACCAGGGCTACTGCGCGGACCGCGAGCGGGCCTACAACTTTTGCCCGCGCTGCGGCCGCGACCACCGCGTGCTCGGCCGGCACGCCGACCGCGTGCGGCACGACAACACGTGCAACTACATGATGGACTACCCCGAGGACCGGCCCTTCTGCTTCTGCGACGACTGCACGGCGTCCACGACGACGCCGCACCCGGCCAGGAGCTGCTGCGGCCGCGAGGCGCGCCGCACCTTCGACTTTTGCGAAGGGTGCGGCGACGCCAACCCGGACGGCGGCTGCCCGCACCCGGCGTCCAAGTGCACCGCCAAGGACTCGCGCCACGTGGGCAGGGCCCCCTACTGCAGCAAGTGCGGGCTCGCCCTGGCGCCCTACAGCAAGGGGTACCGGGACACGCACGCGCTCTCCTGCCGGGGCTTCAACGGGACCCCGGACGCCTTCTGCCCCTGGTGCGGCGTGGCGGCCAGCCACTCGAGGCGGGACTGGCTGGCACATCTGGGCGGCTGCGCCAAGAACACGGGCGGCCACGAGGGGCCCGTGGACCTGGCCTCGGGCAGGCCGTGGGACGCGCTGCTGGTTCACGTCGACAGGCGCGCGTACGACTCCTGCTACCTCGCCGGCAAGCCCAAGTCCCCCTGGTGCTGGACCTGCGGCGCCGACATCATACCCCACACCGGCCAGGGCCACTGGGACCACTTTGCAACGGAGCACCCCGGCAAGGGCCTGGAAGATTGCCCCTACTGCGACGAGGTGGTGCCGTTCGCGTCGCTTGGCTGGGGCAACGACGAGAGGGGCACCGCCAAGAAGATTGCGCACCTGCAGCACCACATCGAGTGGGCCAGGGATGTGTTTGACGAGATCAAAATCTACGGCGAGGGTCACCACGCCTACCTCGGAGGGATGGACGACCTGATCGACAGGAAGTATGGGACTTCCGGAAAGGCCGACACCAGCGACCAGCCCGAGACTCGTGTAGGAGATACATCTCGGGCCAGGGGACAAGGCACGCGCAAAAAAGCGGCGGCCAAGAATGCCGACAGTAAGTCAAGTCCACCGGCTACGAAATCCAGTCGTGATCAGCGACAAGATTCGTTCCGTCTACTTCGTTTGCTGACCCATGCCTCCCCTGTCTTTGCACGCGCAGCCCTTCCACCGATCAAAATCATCCCAGCCCCGGGGGAGGGGGATCTCCCCGGCGGACGTCAACATGCGGTCCCCCGCCAAGGCGGCCCGCGGAGGTCGCGGCGGCGCCCGCGGCGGACGGGCCGCGGCTGCGGCCACAGGTCGGGCCACGGCGCCGCCCGCAAAGGCCAAGGCCAAGGCCAAAGCGAAGAGCAAGCCCGCAGTCACCGTCGTCAACTATGGCAGCGAGGACGAGGAGCTCTTCGGGACCTCGTCCGAGGAGGACGACGGCCCGCACCCGGAATTTCCGGACGACGACGGCGACTACGGGATGAGCGAGCCGGGCGAGAAGGCGGCGGCGGCCAGGCGGCACGGGCCAGCCGACCCGAGCTACAAGCCGCGCAAGCCGTCCGACTGGGACGACCCGGAGCTCATCAAGGAGGCCGTCTTCGACCCGCCCGTCGAGGGCAGCCCGGGCCTGCCCGCCGTCGCGGCCGGCGACTGGACCGCCGGGCCCGTCGACGACAAGGCCCCGCCGCCCGCGAGCCCGACGGTAAAGCGGAAGCGCGCCCCCGCCGCTGCTGCTGCTGCTGCCGCCGGCGACCCGCCCGCTGCGGCCAAGGCCACGCCGGCGGCCAAGAAGCGCAAGGCCGCCGAGGCGGCGCCGGGGAAGACGCCGGCTGCCAAGAAGGTGACGACGACCACGGCCAAGAAGGCGGCGGCTAAAAAGACGGTGGCGACGCCTGCCGCTAAAAAGGCGGCGGCAACACCCGCGGCCAAGAAGGTGGCGGCAACACCTGCGCCCGAGAAGGAAGCGGCGACGCCTGCGACCAAGAAGGCGGAGCCGACGCCCGTGACGGTCGTCAAGGCGGCGACGAGGAAGCTAATGGCCGGCACCGCTCCCCAACCGCCGGCCCTAGGAGTACCGGCGGCTCAGCGGACGACACGGTCGACTAGCCGGGCGCTGTCTGAGGCTGCGTCGTCAGACGCACAGTGATGGGCTTATGTGGGTGGAGTGCTTGATGGTGTTTTTTTTTTGGTCTGGAGGAGTTGGTGTCTATTTTCTTTGCGTCGTATTGTTTCTCTTTGTTCTGTCTTTCCCCGTTTGGCTTTCCTATGCAGCCCCGCCATCTCGTTGGTGACAGATGTCACACATCTCATCGCCATGGACAATCATGGATAAACGGCTGTCTCCTATGTACTCGTGTTTTCACGCATGTTTCTGTTCGGTCCCTAGGTAGCACACTCTTTCTGCTGTAGTTTAGTGGTTAATGTCTATCGTGTTGAGGATCTGTTGGCCGATACGAGATGCAGAGACAAGCCCGTTGCGCACCGCCGTGCTTGCTTCTTTATCATTCGCAGAATGCAACCTTCCCATAGTGTCACCGAACGTCGTACGTGGTGCATGCCGAGAGGCAGCGATCAAGACTGGTGTCGGTTGTCGGTCGCGGGTTTCTGCCCGAGGGCCTCGATCCAGGGGGTTCTCCGAGAATCTTTCTTGGGAGCGGACGCCGACGGGGAAATTGAACCCTTGCTAGCCGGAGTGAGAACCCTTGTGGCAGCCAGTCGGAAAATTGTGCCCTCAATGCCGACAAGCATCGACCTTTGACATGGTTGGGGCCTCTTGACCGCCGGGAGCCGTCGACAGCCGCACCGAGTTACAGGGGGCCATGGGTCTGGGGCCTGCCCTGTTGGTCAGATGATGGGCCTGTACCAGGATCGGACTGCGCAGGGCCGGCTGCGATACGTAACCAAAAACAGAAAGGACCAAGCCGTTTGTCTCGTTTGGCGGGAGCAGCAGCCTCGAGGTCGTCTGACCTGATCTGTGTCCTTGGGGACTGCACTGGCTTGCACTGACAAGAAGATGCGAGCCAATCTCATTCGGAGCGGTGTGTTTGGAGGTGGCGCTGCGTGTTTGTGTTGGACATGTTCTGTCTCGCTCCTTTGATTGATACTAGGAAGCTGTGACGTATTTTGTTCATGTTTTCCAACGGCAACTTGCGTCCATCTCGACGTGAATCGTCCCTCTTGACTGTCACAATTCTCCTGCCTGCTCTCTCTCTTTTCCTTAGATTATTTGCTCTGCATCTGTGAGACCAATTGGGCTGTCTTTATCCACAGCATTCCCATCTCAGCCAGCATCTATTCCAGATTCCAGATTCCAGATTCCAGGCTCACTGTGGCCCCACTTGGTGATGCCTCCACAGTAAAGACGGCCGTCGAAAATCCAAGGCCGCGCCGACGAGAACGACAGCCGCCACCGTGAGTCAGCCTCTTCTACCAAGCTGGGCACACACGCTCCTTCCAACTGCGTGAAGCGTAGCTTTTATTCATGCCCTACCACTTCTGTCTCCGCCCACGGGCCTCTTTTCCTAACATGAACCCTCCATCTCCAGCAAGTGTCACCAGACATCGGCCACCATGTTAGCCCGAGCTTCCACCCGCGCCGTTGCTAGCATACCACGAAGCCTACGATGCGCCCGCTCGCGACCTCTCCCGCCATTAGCTCGACACCCAGCGCGACAATCCTTCTTTACTCGGCCGCAGATTCGTGCCGCCTCGACCACATCCCGCTCGTCGCCACCTCTCTCAGATAACGGCCATGACACAAGCGAATCACAAAGACATGGGGCCAATGGGGGCCGCAAGAGAACCACGCTTCTCGCGGGAGCTACAGGCGCGTCACTGCTCGCCGCAATAGCAGCCGTGACGCAGTCAGACTTCTCCAGCAATCAAACAAAACAGTCAGACGGTCAGAACCAAGATGCCTCGGCCGATGGGAGAGATCCGTCACTGCCCCGGCACCGCCTCGCCGATATCCGTGCGGATCACGGTCCGGGCTCAGACAGGCCCTGGGTCACGTACCAAGACAAAGTCTACGACATAACGGACTGGGTGGGCGCCCACCCAGGCGGCGACGTGATCCTGCGCGCCGCCGGCGCTAGCATCGAGCCATACTGGGACATCTTTACCATCCACAAAGCCCCGCACGTGCGCGAGATCCTCGACCAGTACCTGGTTGGCCTCATCGCCATGGAGGACCTGGACCGCGCCACCGGCCTCCCCGCCGCCGAGGCGGTCGAGGACCCCTTCGCCACGGACCCGGCCCGCGACCCGCGCCTGATCACGCACACGGCCAAGCCGCGCAACGCCGAGCCGCCCGCGTCGGAGCTCGCCGGCGAGTTCGTCACGCCCGCCGAGCTCTTCTACGTCCGCAACCACATGTGGGTCCCGCCCGTCGAGGCCGCCGCCGCGGGCCGCCACGCCCTCACCATCGAGCTGCCGTCGGGCGAGGAGCGCGTCTATACGCTCGAGGAGCTGCGGTCCCGCTTCCGCGTCCACCGCGTCACGGCCGCCCTCCAGTGCAGCGGCAACCGGCGCAGCGACATGACGGCCTCGGCCAACGCCACCAACGGCCTCCAGTGGGGGGTGGGTGCCATCTCCAACGCCGAGTGGGAGGGCGTGCGGCTCGCCGACGTGCTCCTCGACGCCGGGCTCTCGCCGACCTCGAGATGCCCAACCGCGGTCGCTGCCAAAACCGGAAAAGACGACAACGACAACGACAATGACGGCGACGACGACAACCGCGAGATGCACGTGCAGTTCTCCGCCCTCGAGGCCTACGGCGCCTCCATCCCGCTCTCCACGGCGCTCGACCCGCGCGCCGACGTGCTGCTGGCCTTTGGCATGAACGGCCGGCCCCTCCCGCCGGACCACGGGTTCCCCCTGAGGGCCATCGTGCCCGGCCACGTGGCGGCGCGGTCGGTCAAGTGGCTGAGCAGGATCGCCATCGCCGACGAGGAGTCGACGAGCCAGTGGCAGCGCCGCGACTACAAGTGCTTCGGCCCCAACGAAGGGTCCAGCCCGGACTGGGACCGCTACCCGGCCATCCAGGAGATGCCCATCACCAGCGCCGTCACGGGAATCTGGGTCGGCGGCTGCGTGCGCGAGGCCGGCAAAAAGGCCCGCTGGATGCTGCGCCGCACCGACGAGCACCGCGCCGCGCCAGGCGTGCGCGACCTGTCCGGGTGGCGTCGCGAGCACCACCTGGATCAGCCGCCGCCGCAAACAGCTAAGTCCTCGCCGGTGGATGCCGCACCCGCAACCGCGACTGCCGCCGACGACGAAACGGTACCCGTGGCGCTGATGGGGTACGCGTACTCGGGCGGCGGCAAGGCCATCATCCGCGTCGACGTCAGCGTCGACGGCGGCCGCACCTGGGACCAGGCCGAGCTGCTCGACGACTGCGGGCCCGACGGCAAGGGCTGCCGGGGCTCCAAGGCGTGGGCCTGGAGGCGGTGGCGCTACGTCGGCAACCTGCCCGAATTTGCCGGCGCCGCGGCGGCGGCGACCAAGGGGCAAGACGGCGACGACAAGACGGGCAGCAGCAATAGCAGCAAGTGCACAACGGTGCTCGTCAAGGCCACCGACTCGGCCTACAACACGCAGCCCGAGAACCACACGGGCATCTACAACGTGCGCGGCAACCTCGCCACGGCTTGGCACCGGGTCTTGGTGTGCCCCTCGTGCACCAAGACGTCCGACGGCCGCACCGCGTGGCGCACCGGCAGCGGGGTGTTTGGGGCCGGCTTCGCAAAGGGTCGGTGCCTCGAGGGCGCCCCGGCCGAGGGGACGGTCGACAAGAAGAGGATGCCATGAGGGCGAGATGCTGAGGGGATTATAGAGGTGAAGAGATGACCATGGGCCTACCGAACTAATGGTTACTGCAGTGCTTTTTTCTTCCTTTTTTTTTATCCTTGGTGCGTCTAGACTAGAGTTTGCGTGTCGAGACCTTAATGATCCTTTCCCACACAACCTTGATCTCCACGTTATTGAGCGCTTCTTTTTCAACATTTCAGGCAGTCGGGGAGCATCGGGAGGCGGCGTTTTTGATATCCAGATTTAGAGCTTAGAATGCCGAAGCTTTCAACAAGACAAAGTATGCCGGCTGCCAGTGATGCACATGTGGCCACGCAACAGAGCAGAGAAACCGAAAGCCAGTGTCACGCAGGTGGTAAAAAATTAAAAATTGTTGTATTCCTGGCCTATGGCCAGGTCCATGTCCAAAATAATATAGACACGGGTCGAAGGGTAGGACAAAGGAAATAATCGTAAGGTATGCCCGTATATGCATATCGAGTTTTTCGTTTCTTTGTTTATTTCCTCCCCTCTCGTTTTCTCATTTCCCCCTACATTATGATATCCGTCTCCTCAAGGGAATATGAACCGGGCGTCCTCCTTGCTCGACTTGCGGCTCCACTGGTGCCTGAGCGGGTCGCCCTTGCGGTTCCGCTCCTGGTACAGGGCCTCGATGATGGTCTTGTACATGAAGACGCCGGCGCCGTTGTAGACGATGCTGTGGTCGCTGTCGGTGTGGGCCTGGAAGTGCAGCTTGGAGGGGGGCACGCGCTCGCCCACGAGCAGGTCGACGAGCGCGGCCGTGTTCTGGTAGTGCACGTTGTCGTCGCCCGTGCCGTGGAAGATCCACGACCCGCCCTTGATGTTCTTGAACCCGGCCGTCCTGCGCACCGCCGTCGAGTTGTAGCCGGCGCCGTTGGTCTGCGGCGTCTTCATGTAGCGCTCCGTGTACATGGAGTCGTAGAAGCGCCAGTCGGTCACGGGCGCGCCCATGAGCGAGGCCGTGTAGACGCCCGAGTCGAGCTCCACCACTTTGGCGCCCAGGAAGCCGCCGTACGAGTGGCCGAAGAAGGCGACGTGCTCGGCGTCGACGTACGCAAAACGCTCGCCGATGGCGCGCGCCGCAAACACCTGGTCCTCGGCCTCGAGCGTGCCCAGGCGGCCGGCGACGGCGGAGCGGAAGGCGCGCCCCCTGAAGCCGGTGCCGCGGTTGTCGACCGTGTACGTGATGTACTCGAGCTCCGGGTCCGAGGCCACGTAGGCCTTCCAGTTGAGGGGCGAGAAGCGCTTCTGCACCTCCTGCGCGTTGGGCCCGCCGTAGGGGATGAAGATGGCCGGGTACTTCTTGGCCGGGTCGAAGTTTGCCGGCAGGCGCTGCATCACGTTGAGGCTGTAGCCGCCGCCCGCCGGGTTCTCGAGCTCAAAGTAGGTGATGTTGGGGAGCTTGTACTCCTGCAGCCGGTCCCAGAGCGCGCGGTTGTCGGTGATGACGCGCAGCGGCTCGGTCGAGTTGATCGAGTACAGCTCCTGGTACGGCACGTCCGGGCCTGAGTAGGTGCGGATGTAGTAGGAGCCGCCCGACGAGAAGGAGGCGGTCCACCAGGCCGGGACCGTGTCGTCAACGAGCGCCTTCTTCTCGCCCGTCGCGTACGAGACCGAGTACAGGTGGCTCTCGGTGCTGTGGCGCTCCGTCGACGCGTAGTAGATGAGCTGGCGGGCCGTGTCGACCTTGAGGATGGCGCGCACCTCCCACTTGCCCGACGTGAGCGCCACGGCGGCGCCGCCCTTGGTCGGATGCAGGTACAGGTGGTTCCAGCCCGACTCGTCCGAGAGGTCGACGTAGTAGGACTGGTTGCACGAGCCGTGGAGCGGGCCGACGTACGTGATGGCCTGCTGCAGCTCCAGCCAGCCGTCGCTGCCGTCGCGCTCGCGCACCATCTTTTGCGTGAAGGCGGGCACGTCGACGACGACGAGCTTCTCCTTGTCCTGCACGCGGTTGTAGGCGCGGTAGAGCACGCTGGCGTGCTTGCCCGTCAGCCACGCCACCTCGCCGATGATGAGGTCCTCGGCCGGGAAGGCGTCGACGGCGATCGGGGTGCGCTTCTCGTCGGCCACCGACAGCAGGCTGAAGGCCACCTTTGGGTTGGTGGTGCCAACCTTGGGGTAGCGCAGCTCCAGCTCGCGCGGGTACTCGGGGGCGTACTTCTGGCCGTCCATGTAGTACTGCACCCGGTACCTCTGCACGCCCGTCTCGTCGATGCTGAGGAAGGCGATGTACTGGCCGTCGGGCGAGAACCACAGCGACTTGCGGCCGCCAAAGATCTCCTCCTCGTACACCCAGTCGGGCACGCCGTGGAACTTGTCGGGCCCGCCGTCGGACGTGATCTGCGAGATTTTGCCCCCCTTGTTGAGGTACAGGTTGTTGCCGCGCACAAAGGCGATGGCGTCGCCCGCCGGCGCGAGCTCGGCGTACTGCACGTCGCCGGCCTGGTCGGGAACCACGGGCGAGAGCTGCTTCGAGGCCACGTCGAGCACAAAGTAGTTTGCCGTGTACGAGTGGCGGTAGACCTTTGTGCGGTCGGCCGCGAACAGCACCTTCTTAAGGTCCTGGCGCACCCAGTACTCGTACATGTTGGGCGGGAACAGGTTGGCCGCCACAAAGGTCTCGCTACTGCCCGTGGCGATGTTCTCAAACACCAGGCCCGCGCCCGTCTCGGTGATGTACTGGCCGTCGGAGCCGCCACCCGTCGCGATCCACTGCACGCCCCTGGACGAGGCGCCGAACTTGGGCGACAGCACCGTGTCGTTGTACGTCAGGATCTTGTCGCCGTTGCCGAGCGGCTGGTGCGGCTGCCGCGGCGGGTCGATGGCGGTGGCCGAGAGGGCCAGCGCCGCCACGAGCAGGGAGGTGGCGAGCGACCTCATCGTGCCTAGAGCCTACAGGACGAAGATGAGGGGGTGGTGGTGGTGGTGGTGGTGAGGGGGAGGACGAGGAGGACGAGGAGGAGCAGGGGAAAGACGGCCTATGCTCCAGCGACCAACAACAGACGAGGGAGGCGGGCACTTCGGCGAAGGCACGCACGACTCGCTGGACCGACTGTTCCTGGAAGACAGACGTGGGGAGCAGGCCGAGTGAGCTGCTGTCCTACCTACCTGCCTGTTTATGTACCTTTCCCGCACGCCGCTGTCCCCGCCAACTCGGCCTCTTGGCAAGACGCCAATATCCAGGTTCCAGTCCTTGGTCGCACCACCCCGTCCATCTCCCCAGCGCGGCGCATATCTGTGCTGCCGGGCCCTCCCCCGTCGCCCCCTTTGGAGCTTCCTCTTCGAAGCTGGCCCGCCTCCTCTTTGGCCCAGCGCCGAGAGGTTCAGAGATGACGCGTGCCAGAAGGCAATTTGCATGGCCGCTTGGCGCACTTATCGCACCGCCCTCGCCCTCGAGCCCATTGGCCCACGACCCCCTCGGTCCCCGCTTCTCCGACCCGCGCTGCAAGACGACAAGTCCCGAAGCGGAAGGTTGCAAAGAAAAAGGTGGAGGGGGCCCCTTGCAGGCCTGCAGGCACAATCCACCGGCGGGAAAATGGAGACTGACGGAGTCGGGCAGGTCGCGGCCTTGCTTGCGGGTGTGTGGACTGGGCTGAATCGGCCGTGGCATGTCCTGGGTTCCATTTTGCTCTGGTCTACTACACAGTAGTAATCCTCGCGCCCTCAAATGTCGGGTGCTGCAATCAATTGACCCCAAATCGGTGTGGCTGTCACTCACGGCCGCCGTTACTGACCCACTCCAGCTCGGGACATCAAGCCGAGGAATGAAACGTCGACAGTCGCCCCAACGAAAATAAACGCTGGGCTGGCTGCGTTTCCCAGAACCCTGGGCGGAACCACACGTGGATGACGGTGACGCCATCCTGTCTCGAGCTCACGTGGCTGACATGTGCTGCCGCCTGCTGGCTCGTTCAAGCGGCTGAACAACCAGGCAGTCTCTCTAGCACACTAGCCCTGATATAAATGGCCAAATCAAACAGGCAAGGCGGTTCATCACCTCAACTTTGGAGGGCTCGCGAAACCCAGTCTTTCCCGAAAAGTCCGTTGGTGCTTTTTCTTTTGTCAGCATACCCATTTGAAGAGCCCTGTCCCGTAGACGCCAAAGTTGTACCCCCAGATACCTAACCAAGAGGACGCAACGAAAGGTATCTCAAACCCGCCAAGCGCTGCAGAATTAACAGCAAGAGAAGATAAGGAAAGCGAGTAGACACCAACACATTCTTGTAAACAGTACTGGTCAAACAGGAGACTCGTGCTCCCCCCAAACTGCAACAGCGAGCTAGCAAGGAAGCGAATGGACGAAAGGACGGAAGAATGGAAAAGAAGCAGAGGGAGAAAAAAACGTCGGATGGAGCGTGGACGCCAGAGGTTGAACGAGAAAGCGTCGAAGCAATTAAAAGTGATAGATGGCTCCAGCTTCAAATGAAATCAGATCAGACCACCCATGCCGCCCATACAACACGCGCACCGCATGAGTATGGCTCGTCGGCGAGGTTTGGTACGCAAGTTCCGTCCAACTTCCCAACGTCGCCCATCACTAGCGGCTATTCCTCTGCACCAGTAGACGAACATTGTCCACCATTCCTTCGATGAGTTCCGAGTAGTTGTGTGGCGAGTTGCTCATCAGCAGGTCGCCCTGTTTCAGCACCAGGCCAGCGTTGAGCTCGATTTCGAGCTCGTGCTCTCTCTTAGTCTGAGCCTTGTTCTGTATTCACCCGTCAATGTCAGCGCTCCTGCTCTAGTTGGTCCAAACGTGTTCAAGCCAACTCACCGCTATGCCGATGATCTTTTGCGTCACCTGCGTCAGATCGATTTGATACGGTCCCTGTTCGTAGCTTAGTCGGTCCTTTTCTCGGTCTGGCGCCCTCGCCGGGTCATGAGTTCCGATCTCCTCAATCTCGCTCGCCGGCCCATCCCACGGCATTTCTAGGTTGACGCTGATTCTGCAGTCCATAGAATGCCTTGGGAAGTGGATGCTTAAGTCGGCAACACGTGCCTTCATTATCTGCCGCTTGGCCACCAAGACAGTGCTTCCATCCGCTGCTCGCTGCCGCTCGTATGTCACGCGCACTTTGAGTGAACGCCTGCCCTGAGCGTGGTTGTAGTGCCTCATGACGGACGGCAGGCGACCCTCGAGCTCCCGCGGCAGCTCAAAGAACCTGTCCACTTCCCTGTTGTGCTTGTAAGTGATCTCGACCCGGCTGCCCGCCGCCGCGATGGGAGGGCGGGTTCGGCTGACGGCATCGTTGAGGAAACCGTTGTATGCTTTGTGTTGCTCCTGCGGTACAAATCTTCACATTAGCTTGGGCTACTCGATCCTTGAACATGCGTGTTCATAGACAGTAGGACCTGCGCCGCGCTGTGGAGTGATCGCTTACCTCAGTCATGCTGCTTTTGAATGCAATGTGGCCGCTCTCCCTAAGCACACATTCGGTCTCGACTGGAAGATCGAACCGATCGTTGGTGTCCTTGTTGATACACTGACCTAGCTTCGCCTCGATTTCGAACTCGATACCGCGGGAGAGTATTTCTCTCTTGTGCTCGTTGTTGATAACGTTGAGGAATATGAAGTCCGCAACCATCCTGACCATCTCCTCTTGGGGGCGTTTGCTGGTGATGGTGGGCTCCCACGGACCCAAGGTTAAGCACGGGTTTGGAGCGGCGCTTGTCGGTGGGGCCGGAGGTCCAGGTGCTGGTTGGGCACGGGTGGCTGTGGGAGAGGCGTGTCCGCTGGTGGTGTCGCGTCTCTGTGCTGGCTCGCGCTTCAGACCGTTGACCTGAGCCGGAGGCTGGCTCACGACCTTTTTGCGAATCTCAAAGTTCGGATTCTTGAGTTCGGCCTCCTTGGACCGGATGCTACGCGCCCACATGGGCACCTCGGCGTGTCGTTTCGCATGTTTGCGCTGTGTAGTAGGCGATGCTGAAGACCGAGCGTTGTCGGCTCGAGAACCGTTGCGGTCTACGAATGGCGCCGGCCGAGCCTCTTGATGGGCAATCTCGTCGGGTGCCAGGTCTCTGTCGTCCATCTTTCGCTTGCCGGGAGTGATGGCGCGCTCACGGCCTTGCTCCACGGGGCCTGGCGCAGATGCAGTCATTGTTTTGGATGCTGGCATCTGGCGAGGATCCGAATCGTGGATTGAGGTCGAGGTTGATGTGGGCCCAACACTGCTCTGAACGCTCATGTTGCGTGTCTTTGGGCTTATGCTCTGGCTGTGCTCGCGCTCGCTGCGCGACAGGGAGCGCCGGTGCACGTCCACGTCGTGACCAGAATGGCTCGCTGGTGGCTTTGGAATGATCGGCGGGGCCTGTTGCGGTGGTGACGTGTGCGGCTGTAGATGGGGAGGTATTGGAGGCGCGAAATTCCCGGCCGAGGACAGACGTTGTTGATACGGGCTTGAAGGAGGCGGGTAGCTCGCGTTGGACGAGGTGCGTGGAGGGCCAGGCGCCAACGGTGGTCCTATCGGAGTTGGAGGATTAGAGCCCTGGTGGCTGTTGTAGTACTCGTGCTGGGACTGAGGCTGACTGTGAGGCTGCTGGGATTGAGTGTGAGTTGGTGGTGGTTGATGGTGCGCCATGACGGGGCTGCCCGGATATGGTGCACCATATTGGTGCTGGCTGTGCGCAGAAGTTGGAGTGGGCGTGGAGTGGGTCGACTGCGAGCGCTGGTGCAAAGCTGGATGCGGACCTCCAGGGGTACCGACTGGGGGCGTCTGAGGCACTGGCCCCGTGTGCATGTACGGGGGGTGCCCGGGCTGTTGACCTCCTATCGCGTGCGGACCCGGACCTGGAGACGGCTGCGAGAAGCTGTCGGAACGCTGAGGATAAGTGCCGGCCGGGGGATACTGGTGGAGCTGCACGGGGCTGTTCGGCGCGCCATGTCCTGGTGTTGGGGGAAAGGGGTAACCAGCAGGGCCCGGGCCTCCTGGCGTGCCGATCGAGGTGTGCCTACCAGCGTATGGAGAGCCAGCGCCGGGCATCGAGCCCATGCTGGGCGAGCGGGCATCGGGGCCCATCGGCGGCGGCGCTGGTCTGGGAGCGCCGTAGGGGGCCTGCATCGATTGTTGAGGGTGGTACGAGACAGGCGATGTCGCGTAGGGCTGGCCGCCGCCGGGGGGTTGCGCGTGTGGTGGCGGCGGCTGGCCGTAGCCGTCGTGCGACGGCTGCCTGACGGGCGACGGGTGCGGTGGATTGGCGTAGTCGCGGAACGAGTGCGGCGGCGCAATCTGGATCGGCGTCGACGGGTGGCGCGCGTGCTGGGGAGGGGGTCGGGCCGGCTGCGTGGGCGACACAGTCGCGGCCGCCCCGGCATCCGTGTTTAGCATTCGCCCGAGATCCATCGCGGCGGTTGTTGCGGCCTCTCCTGGCCAGGCCTCTCCCGGCCCCCTGGTCTGGCTTCTATCCGTCGTCGGTGGGCGGCGCGCTGTCGTGGTCGCGGTGCGTTGTCGGGCGGCGAGAATGGCATCCAGGGGCTGGTCGTGTTGTGCTCCAGCGCGGGTCGCGTGCGGCTTCAATGACGGAGCTGTGTTGGATATCGGCCTTGTTTGCCAGATCGGTCCCCAAAGTTTTGGGCACCCTGGAACGCACAACAGAAGCCAGGAAGCACGGTCGGTTGACTCTGTCGCGCAGGATCCCCCTCAGCGACTGCGAGTCATGTGATGGCACACGTGTCGCGCCGTTGTCTTATCTGCGCTGCGCTGATGATGGCCGGTTGCGGCAGAGACGAGTGCCTAGGACGAGGAATGTTTGCGGACGGATTGTGTCAAGCTTTGCGTGTGCGCAGCAGCATCGCCAGAAGCGCTTTCATTCGATTCTCAGCACCTGCTGCATCCGTCATTTTTTGCGCCTGGGCTGCAAACGGAGAGCTTCAGGGCCTAGCCGCTTTAGGACAGCAGACCCACACCAGCACGTGAGCCTTCTCTTGTTTGCAATCGCAGCACGTCACAATCTGCCAGCCTTGGCGTCGGGGCTGGGGAGATTCGCGAGACGCGGGCGCTAGGTGGAAACGGACAAGAAGACGCGTGTCGAAAAGTAATGGACCAACAAGCCAACCGTAAATGTGGACAGATGCCTTGGTAGTGAGGTATCTATTCAGTAGAAGGAACACACTAGACACGACGATGTTTTCCTATGTCCCCCTAGACAGATGTCTAAGGTAGTTAGGCGGCCATCTATACCTGCGTGCCAATTACGCAAAGGCACAAATAGGAACTATCTGCACCATAGGCACCGTCCGTCCTCCATTCCTGAACAGGTAGACATCTGCCCTTGAGTACGGGCAGATCTATGTGATTCGTATGTAGCCAGTAGGGATTTGTCGAGGCACAAAGGGCGCATAGCCCTCCTTCACTTCCCCTTGATCGCTCTCTCACCGGTCAAGTTAGGTTTTGAGATCGGCTGCTCGAGTAGCCTCGCCGGAGAGACCGTACAGCGCCTAACCTACCAACCGGTGCCTGAGTCAGCATGCCCCACTGGTGCACGTTCCAGCTCGCCTCGTCGCAACAGCTGGGCTCAGCGCAACGCAAGCCGGAGCTGCCTGACGTGCCGCATCAATAATCCTCCACTGCCGGCTTTCTTGGAGGCCATCAAGCACCACCTCATCTTTCTAATATCAGCTATCCTCATTCCACGGAACGCACCCCGCCCGTGGCTCTACTCCCACGACACACGCCGCTTCCGGGAGGATACTGATTCCGCCGCGACCTCGACCATCCGCCTGCTCCCCCTCCCTCCTGCACATTTCTCCACCATGCCTGGGCTCGTCACCGCGACGGGCGTTCTCGGCTTCCTTGCCGACGAAGAGCCCGAGCTCAAGGTCTTCGCCCTCCAGACCCTCAACGATGATATCGACACCGTCTGGACGGAGGTTGCGGGAGCTCTGAGTCAAATGTGCGTGGTGCCCCCACGCCAATGCGCCCTCGACTTTCCTGCGCCGCCTTGAAATTTGCTAACTGTCCCTGGCTCTACAGCGAGGCCCTCTACGAAGACGAGTCGTTCCCCGAGCGGCAGCTCGCCGCCCTCGTACTAGCCAAGGTGTACTATCACCTCCAGGCCTACCATGAGAGCATGACCTTCGCCCTTGCCGCCGGCGACCTGTTCAAACTCGACGCTCCTGGCGAGTTCGAGGAGACCATTATCTCCAAGTGCGTGGACCAGTACATCGCCGTCTCGTCCTCGCACCACACCCCCGCCAAGCAGTCCAAAGGCGAGGCGTCTCTTCCTCCTCTCGAGACCACCTTTTCTGGCGGCATCGAGGCGTCGTCGCTCATCTCCCCGACCACGCCCTTCTCCCAGTCAGCCCTGCCTTCCAAGTCGCTGCTGTCCCGCGACTCGACCGACAACACCATTCTCGATCCGACCTTCCAACCCGCAACCAAGCAGGGCCGCTCTGGCTCCATCGTCCAGATTCCTGACGAGGGCACACAGGCTGCCCTGCAGCGCGTGGTCGAGCGCCTTTTTGAGAATTGCCTGAAGGAGGGGCGGTATCGGCAGGTTGTTGGTATCGCCGTCGAGGCCAAGAAGCTTGATGTGCTCAAGCGTGTCATCAAGCGGGCGAGCGATGACGAGAAGCGCTCCAAGGGCAAGTCCCAAGACTCTAGCCAGAGCCCCGCGGACGAGCTGATGGAGTATGCTCTCGGCATTTGCATGGACGTCGTTCAAGAGCGCAGCTTGCGGACCGAGATCCTCCGACTCATCCTCGATCTTCTCAACGACATCCCGAACCCTGACTACTTCGCCATCGCGCGGTGTGTCGTGTACCTCAACTCGGACGAGGAGGCCTCTACGATGCTGCGCACGCTGATCGGCAACGGAGATGTCAACTCGATTGCGAACGCATACCAAATAGCCTTCGACCTTTACGATAATGGCACCCAGGAGTTTTTGGGCAAGGTAATCAAGTCATTGCCATCCGGAGAGCCACCCAAGAAGCCCGAGCCTGCGGCCGAAGAAGCCGAGGCTGCCGAGGGTGATTCTCTGTTAAAGAATGTCGAGTCCTCGGCCAATGAGGAGTCGCAAGGTGACGATGAGGAGGAGGAGGTGTCGGAGGACGAAGCCAAGGTCTTCAAGAACATCCGGTCGATTCTGGATGGCAGCAAGGCTATCAAGCTAGACCTCGAGTTCCTCTACAGGAACAACCGCACTGACCTAAGCATCCTCAACAAGGTGCGCGAAAGCCTCGAGGGTAGGAACTCGATCTTCCACACCGCCGTCACATTTTGCAACGCCTTCATGAATGCCGGCACGACGCACGACAAGTTTTTCCGGGACAACCTGGAGTGGCTCGGAAAGGCTGTCAACTGGTCCAAGTTCACTGCAACCGCCGCTCTCGGTGTCATCCACCGCGGCAACCTGTCTCAGTCCCGCAAGCTCCTCGAGCCTTACCTGCCCAAACAGGGCGGTATCAGCAGCGGCTCCATCTTCAGCCAGGGTGGTGCTCTCTACGCCTACGGCCTGATCCACGCCAACCACGGCGCCGGCGCCCTCGACTACCTGAAGACCATATTCACGTCGACCGAGGACGAGGTTATTAGGCACGGTGGTGCCCTGGGTCTCGGTATCGCTGGCATGGCTACTGGTGATGAGGACATCTTTGACGACCTGAAGACTGTTCTTTGGGCCGACTCTGCACTCAACGGCGAGGCTGTCGGTCTGGCCATGGGTCTGATCATGCTGGGCACCGGGAACACCAACGCGCTCAAGGTCATGTTCTCGTACGCTCATGACACTACGCATGAGAAGATCGTTCGTGGATGTGCGCTCGGAATGGCGCTCATAATGTTTGGCCGTCAGGAGGGTGCCGATGTCATGATTGAGGGTCTCCTCGGTGACCCGGACCCGACCCTGAGGTATGGTGGCATCCTTACTATCGCCATGGCTTACTGCGGCACTGGAAGCAACAAGGCCATCCGCAAGCTGCTGCACACGGCCGTTAGCGACGTCAACGATGACGTGCGCCGCATTGCTGTCATGAGCTTGGGATTCATCCTTTTCCGCAAGCCAGGCAGTGTTCCTCGCATGGTCGAACTCCTCTCTGAGTCGTACAACCCCCACGTTCGTTACGGCTCGGCTATGGCTCTGGGTATCTCGTGCGCTGGCACTGGTCTTGATGAGGCCATCGACCTCCTCGAGCCAATGATGAAGGACCCGACCGACTTTGTCCGCCAGGGTGCCCTTATTGCCTTGGCCATGATTATGGTGCAGCAGAACGAGGCCATGAACCCCAAGGTGGCCTCGATCCGCAAGACGCTCAAGAAGGTGGTAGGTGACCGACATGAGGACGCCATGACAAAGTTCGGTGCTGCCCTCGCCCTGGGCATCATCGACGCCGGCGGACGCAACTGCACCATCGGCCTGCAGACGCAGACCGGCAACCTCAACATGGCCGGAATCGTTGGCATGGCCATCTTCACGCAATACTGGTACTGGTTCCCTTTCACCCACTTCCTGTCGCTCAGCTTCAGCCCCACGTCCATCATTGGTCTCGACCACGACCTCGAGATCCCCAACTTCAAGTTCCACTGCGCCGCTCGCCCTAGCTTGTTCGACTACCCTCCCGAGCAGGAGGTCAAGACCGAGGAGGGGCCTGCTCTCGTCGCCACTGCAGTCCTTTCGACCACGGCCCAGGCCAAGCGCCGGGCACAAAAGAAGGCGAGCGCGCAGCGGCGCGAGAGCATGGATATCGATTCAGCCACCCCTGCTCTTTCCAAGGTTGGTCCGAGCGATGGCGCCGACAAAATGGATGTGGATGACGACAAGAAGGCGAAAGCCGATGATTCCAAGGATAAGAAGGATGGGGAGTCGGCCGACAAGGAGGCTTCGGTGCCCCCCGAGACCAAGAAGAAGGCGGAGAAGGAGAAGGTTGGATACGAAATCGAGAACATGTCCCGTGTTCTCCCTGGACAACTCAAGTACATCAGCTTCCCGGCTGGACGCTACAAGCCGGCAAAGAAGGTTCGTTTCTTTCTTGCCGCTCTTTCCATCTTTTAAGCTGCCGCTGCCTCGCCTACTACGCGCATGCCAATGCTAACACTCCTTTCGCAGCCTACTGGTGGACCTCTTCTCCTACACGACACCCAGCCCGACCAGGCCAAGTCGCTGATCGAGGAGAAGCTCAAGAAGGTGACGATCGAGAAGGCGCCCGTTGCTGGGCCCCAGGTGGGGTCGTCGGCTCGGGACGGCGGGCGCCTTAGTGGGCTCAGCGAACAGCACCAGGCGCTCTTCCAGGCTGCGCAGCGCATCTCTGCCAGTGCTGGTGGCGGCTCGGACGATAACTGGCGCGAGGCCCTGGGTGTTCGGTCCGGCGGCAGCGAGCGCGAGGAGATTCTGCGGCACCTCCTGAGCGGCGGACAGGGGCTTGGTGTGGGCGGGGCGTCTGACGAGCGTAGCGGTGCCGCCGCTGCCGCCGGTGTTCTCACCGCCGTCGACGAGGACGACGAGTCGGGCGAGGAGGCTCCTGTCCCGGCCGACTTTGAGTACTTTACGGACAACGAGGAGGAGGAGGAGCTGTGAAAGGGACAAGACACCATCAGCGGGAGGTGACATTGTTGGAACCGACTCCAACTGTATTATAGTCCTCTAGTCTTCACTCTTTCCCCGACCGCCTGATCAGGGCAGCGAAGAGTTAGACAACGATCACCAGGCCCTGGGTGTATAACAGAGTCCAATGTTTGTTCTTGCGAGAGCGGGACTGAGGCTTACACAATAGACTTTGTCCCCCTTTTACTTAATTTCAACTTGACCACTAAGCTGGCATACTCTCCCCTGCAGCGCATCGCTATCACGCATTTCCCATGGGGTGACAACGGCACTCGAAGGAATTTCGAGCACAACTTGGCTCCGGGGTGTTCATGATGTGATTAATTTGTCTAGCCCTGGAGGATTGTGTCGACGAACCGAGCATCATGATGAAGTTTTCCATGGTTCCTTTTTTGTAGCATCAATACCCGGGCAGGGACCAGGCGCCCTAGGTTGCGGATGGTATCGGGTTCGCTCACCACGCCCACCACAAAAAATGGCAGTTGAGCGGGGTTTAGATAATGCTATAGTTTTCCAATTCTCGTTTTTCCTTCCACTTTATTTTTATTTTCATCTTTATTGTTATTCCTGTTGTTCTTCATGTTGCTATTCCCATTATTGTTCCCATTGTTATTCCTGCTCTTATTCCTATTCCCCTCTTCAGTCTTTGCACGCTTTCTGTTGTCAAGCAAGACTGTAATATTTTTCATGGCTGGCGTGTTCGCCTTGCATGAGCCTTTTCGTGGCAGCTACTTCCCAATTATCTAATCTACTAAACCACAACACAATCCCTCCGCCTCATCCGAACGTTCAGCCCCTTTTGCCGCAAAAAGAACCCATTGCGCGTCCACCACTCCTTTTCGGGCCGCACCATGCCCATCTCGTAGCTCGCAAACAGCGTCGCGACGACTTTGTAGACCTCGACCAGGCCCAAGTGCCTGCCCAGGCAGACGTGCGAGCCGGCGCCAAAGGTCAGGTCCGCGGCGTTCATGGCCGCGAGCCTCTTTGCAAACTCGGCCTCGCCCTCGGCCTCAGCCCGCAGCGAGCGCTCGGGCCTAAAGTCGTCGGCGTCGGCGCCGAACGCGGCCCGGTTGCGCCCGACCACGTATGGGTTCATGCCGACGCTCGTGCCGGGCGGGACGACGGTGCCGTCGGGCAGCACGAGCGGAGGGGACGGCGGCGGCGGCGAGGCGCCCCCGTCGGGACGGGGCTGCGGCACGTGCCGCGGCAGCGTCATGGCCACCGCCGGGTGCAGCCGCATGGCCTCGCGCACGGCCGCCTCGAGGTACGGCACCGCCCGCGCCTCTGCGTACGTCGGCACCACCGCGTGCTCGTCGTCGGGCTTCCGGGCGGCGGCGGCCGCCGCCGCTAGGGACTCCTCGAGGCGCTTCCGGACGCGCGGCGTGCGCAGCACGTGGTAGAGCACGGCCTTGATGGCGATGGCCGTGGTGTCGGCGCCGGCGAGCATGTTGATGGCCAGGTAGCTGACGATCTGGCCGTCGTCGACCACATCCGGGTGCTCGGCCTTGGCCTGCACGAACCGGTCCAGGAAGTCGGGGGCGGCCGTCGTCCGCTTGTGCCCGTCGTCGAGTCCGCCATGCATTCGGTCGCGGAACCTGCGCAGCGTCGGCGCGAGCAGCCTCGTGGCGCCGCCGATGGGGAAGATGGGATTCTTGTCGATCCAGCGGTCCAGGTACGGCAGCTGGCTGACGGCGGCGAGGTAGTCGGAGCCGATGGCCGACAGCCAGATGTGCCCGTCAAAGTCGCAGCCCTTCTCGAGGTAGCCAAAGTGCTTGGAGAAGGTGATCTGGCCAATGACGTCCCACGCGTCTAGTCAGGGGTGGAGGTAGTGTGTTAGAACAGCACCGATAAACGCCACGGTCCCATCGGCCATCATCACTTACACATCGAGATCCACTCGCCAAGGTCGAAGCTCTCGCCAAAACTCCCATCTTTGGACGTCATGAAGCGATCTTCGAGCTGGCGACAGAATAACAGTATTGCCTCGTCCACATGGCCTTCCAGCTGCAAGATGCTTGGAAGCGAGTAGTGTTTTGCGATTGGCCTTTTCTGGCGCGCATGCTCAGCCGGGTCACAAAGACTGAACACATTGTACACCACCTTTCCATCGACGACATTGCTGGCAGGCGGGTAAAAGCCCGTCTTGGGCCATCTGCCGTCCGTCGTGTAAATGGTCTTTATGAGCTCGGGTAGATCCAGATCTAGGTTGTTCGGCCCCGTCCGCACGACGGGCCCGTACCTTTCGTGCATGCGCTTGTTGACGAGGTGTATGTCGCCGCGCAGCGTGTGGTAGAACCGCCAGAGATTCGTCCACCCTGGCGAGACCCCACTGGTCAGATCTAGGCAGAGGCACAGGAACGGGGAAGCGGGCTGGCTGGGAAGCATGCTTACGGGCAAAGAATGGGCCAGGGCACCTCCGCAGCGGGGAGCGGTGATTCGATAGAATAAGCCAGGCGATGCGCGCTGCCGCCAAGACGAGCAGCACCGCAATCCCACGCGCGAGGGTTGATTCAACCCGCCCAAGTATGGGGGCCGCCATGCCGGGCAAAGTTTTGTTTTGAGATCCGTATGATCGAGGCCGGTGAGATATGCACGGCCAACAGGTTTTTTTCTCCTTACAGCCGGGCAGGCAGCTGGCCTCGTACCTATGTAGAGCCCGCAGGATATTTCTGGCTGGGCGGCTGCCTGCATATATGCCGCCGTTCCTCCGCTCCCCATCCCCGCTCCCAAATTGCTTGCCCAGACCTCCAGGGGTCGGGGCGGCGGAATCACACCCGGGCTCATCATGATAACGACGCAGGGGGGCTCCATTGGCGCGCGAGGAATCCGCCGAGATGGAACCCTCCGGGGATCTAAACCGGAGGGAGAAGGTATTCGTGGACCACGCTCTGGGCACGGCCGTATTTTCTCGCCTGTCTTTGCTTTTCTGCGCGGGGGAGGCCTCGGCTGGTGACCTGTGGTCATACCTGAAGGAATATTGAAGGGATGTATTTGCTTTTTTCACGCAGCATCTAGTGGCAAATTGCTTCCAGCCGTTACACCAACATGCACCCGAGACGTTGTGCCGTGTCGCCTTCTCAACTGTGATAGGGTCGACGCCCCCGGTATGGGATTCCTGCGTGCACAGCCCGGCTGTCCCGGCCCCTCGCCCGTCGAGCCCTCCTCGCCCACCATTAGCACCTCCACGCCCGACGACTCCAGCGCCCGAGGTGACTCGACTGCTCTTTGTGATGTCTTTTGTGCACCGTGAGATGTGTGCTGGGCAATATGGAGGGGTTTCAAAACCAAAAGAAGCAACCATGAGTCCGCGCGAGATGGCTGCCCGACGAGTTCGCAGACTGATAAACTCGTAGGCTCCTTCGAGCCCGGTGCCAAACGGCATGTCAGCCATGCGTATATCCTGCTGATCACGGCAGCTTCCTTCCTGCACACCTTGCTCTGTCGCTCCCGTAAAACCTCACACTATGGGGGTCACTCCTATTGGAATCGTTGGGGGTGAAGGCCACTGGCTTTTGGCCCTCTCCTGGTCGGTAACGGGCGTTGCCGCCGTCTGTTTTCTCCTCCGTCTCTATACCCGCCTCGTGGTCGTGAAGTCGTACGGCTGGGACGATACCATTTACAATGGCTCTTTTGTAAGTCTCCCGAGCTCACAGACCCAAAGACACAGCACCCGTTGGCCCCAGCCAAAGGATTCGCCTGGCCTAACACGTATTTGACCCCTCCACAAAGGTCTTGCTCCTCGCCTGCATGATAATGGTGCACATATCGACACTCTACGGCCTCGGCCAAGACCAGCAAGCGATCTGGGACGACAGCCCCGACCGGCTGACCAAGGCGCTCCTGTACCTCATCATCGGGCAGATATTTGGCGTCTCGACCATGGGCGTCGCCAAGGTGTCGCTCGGCCTCTTCCTGCTGCGGCTCGTCACGGCGCGGTGGCACCGCGTGGCCATCTGGACGGCCATCGGGGTCCTCTTCCTCGTGACGGGCGTCACGTCCTTCGTCTTCGCCTTCCAGTGCGCGCCACCGGCGTTCCTGTGGGACAAGACGATCGAGGGCGGCCACTGCCCGGTCCCAATCACGCCCTTCGCGGTGCTGCTGGGCGCGACCTGCGTCGCGGCCGACCTCTTCTTCGCCGTCTTCCCCTGGCTCTTCGTCTGGCGGCTCAACCGGCCGCTGCGCGAGCGCGCCGTCATCGCGGCCTCGATGAGCCTCGGCCTCGTGGCCGCGGCCTGCGGCGTCAAGCGCACCATCGGCCTGGGCGGGCTGGCCAGCGACAACTACACCGTCGACGCCATCCCGACGTGCGGCTGGTCCATCGCCGAGCTGGCCATCACGCTCGTCTGCATCGCCATCCCTGTGTGCCTGCCGCTTTGGAAGCACCTGTTCGGCAGCGCCCCGTGGAAGAAGCGGCCCTCGGCCGGCTCCGAGAGGATCGGCGGTGGCAGCAGCGGGCCCAAGCTGGCGTTGCGCACGTTCGGCGGGAGCCCGATGGCGGGATCCAAGCCCTCGAAGGGCTCCAAAGGATCGGGAGGGAGGTCCCGCGATAGAAATGTAGAGTGTGATGGCGACAGCGAGCGAGGCCTGGGCGAGCCCGAGCCCGAGCCCGGGCCTGGAACAGACGGCCTTGGTGATTCATCGTCAGTTTTGGAGAATCAACCCACGGATCTAGAAGACGGCATGCCGCGCAAGAAGTCTTGAAGATTTATGGATAGTTCAGGGGCTGCACGAGCTGTGGCCGTATATTACCAGGTGCTTGTATACCGTATTACTGTTTCCCTTGTGTGAAGGATAGGAATAGGCACACGAGTTTCCGGGGGCAGGGAAGGAGGCATCTCACCCTCGCTGTGACAGCAGTGCCGTCTCAGTGACTATGTCGTGCACCAAACCAGGCGACACCAAGATCTCTAACTACTCGAAGCAAATGCAGCAGCTCTCCAAGAGCGCATTCGCCTGGGTTAGGCGATTCCCCGGCGCGAAAGGACCTGCCTGGCTCCAATACCGCAAATTTGGGGCGGGGACGGTTCACCCTTCCGCAAAACCTGTGGTCAAACAGGGATCCAGTTGCTTGCGGGATCGGATGAAGCATACAAAGCTGGCTGCTCAGTTCAACAATGCGGCATGCGTGGGAGGCTCACCCGACAATGCCCTTTCCGGGTGGTTTCGATGGGATGTTGACGTGCAGCTCCCGTGCTAATACGGAAGGGGCAGATGCATGGATCCTGGCTGTAGCGCGACGAATTGCCGTCGCAGAAGCCAGCGGCCAGGAAGGGGCTCGGCGTCGAAAGGCTGTCCAGCACGCTGTTCTGGACCCTTCTCAGAATTTGAGTGGCGCGACAGCGAGCGCGGGTGCCCTCAAACAGCTGATCTGAGGTGCAAGCTTCGTGGCTTCCGTGCCAAGGAAGCCAAGTTTGGATCCCGAACGACGTCACCAAATACCACTCCCGCCAGGTGGAGCTAGCGCAGGGCCCGCGGCTCCAGCCCATCAACGTCGGGTGGTCGGCAAGTGGCAACTGCAACTGGACTAAGGTGAAATCTAGTGTGTCTGGAGACAGCCAATGGCGCCTGCCTGCCACAGCGGTTCAATGGTGGCACAACTGTGGGGAGCTGCTTCCTCGCCCGGAGCACAACGCCCGGCCGACCCAGCACCTGTTGGGTTTTGTCCCATGTTGCGCCTGCCTGCCTTCAGACGGTCCTTCCTCAAACTGCCCGATCTGCTAAGTCGTGACGTCAGCCAAAATGCAGAAGCACCATGCCCGAGAGCTCCCGTCATGGACTGCCAATACAAAAGAACTAGCAGAGGATTCCTCGACAGCTTTTGCAAAACAAAACAAGGCATCCATAGCCAAACAACATTCCACCACATCCATCTTTTGGTCATCGCCACTTTCTTCTTGGAGCCTCATTCTCCCCAGTTTAGCAACTAGCAGCTGTTACAATCCATTTCGTATTCCAGCTTCGACATCCTCGCATCTCGCTCCTCACCTCGCCCTCACTCAGTCATCATGCTTCTTCTAGGCCGCGGCCTGTTCGGCCATCGTAGCCAACCGGTAGAGGCCTACAGCATGGCGAAGCGTCCGCGTTTCGGCCTGTGGCTCAAGCATACCTGGCTCGACATTCTCACCATGGCCCTTTTGGGTGCGCTCGGCCTCGGAGTAAGTCCTTCCCCCTCTCTCCCAGGTGCCCACTCGAACCCACTACACAAGAAATGGCAGTTATGGAGGTTCCAGGAATTGTCATTTCTATTTCTGTTGCTATTCCCGTTGTTATTCTTGCTGTGGTTCTTGATGTTATTTCTATTCCTGCTCCGGCAAGGAGCTATCTCGACGCATTCGCTAACGCTAGCTTGACTATTTCTCAGATCTACATGCTGCGCCCGTTACCCAACCGGTCCTTCCCCGTGGCGTATGCCTCCGGCGAGCCTGTTTACCCCCAGTTCGCCTATCCACTTCGCAAAGAAGTCATTCCCATATGGCTGGCCGCTTTGTTGGCCTCCCTCGTCCCTATCCTGTTCTTCGCCCTGATGCAGATCCGCGTCCGCTCCTTCTGGGACTTCAACAACGCCGTCATGGGTCTCCTCTACTCCCTCATCACGGCTGCCGTCTTCCAGGTATTCATCAAGTGGCTCATCGGCGGCCTGCGCCCCCACTTCCTGGACATCTGCAAGCCAGAGCCGGCCTTGCAGCAAGGCAACGGCTTCCACGGACTCTACTACACACGCGAGATCTGCACTGGCGACGAGAAGCAGATCAATGACGCACTGGAGGCTTTCCCCTCTGGTCACACCACTGCAGCCTTTGCCGGCTTCGTCTTCCTATACCTGTATCTCAACGCCAAGCTCAAGGTCTTCTCCAACTACCACCCCTCCCTGTGGAAGCTGGCACTGATCTACGCCCCCATCCTCGGTGCTGTCCTTATCGGGGGCGCGCTCACCATCGACAAGTTCCACAACTGGTACGATATCCTCGCCGGCGCCGCCATCGGCACCACCTTTGCCTTTAGCGCCTACCGCATGACATATGCCGCCGTCTGGGACTGGCGTTACAACCACATCCCTCTCAGCCGCGTCGCGCCCTACGATTACGGTGTTGGTGGCATCGGTTCCGCGGAGCTTCCCACGTATGCTGTCGCCACTCGCAAGGCCAACTGGGGCGATTCCGACGGCGCCACGGGCGCTCTCGGCACCAAGGAGGCTGGAAACAACCTTGGAAGTCACTCCCCTTCTGCCGTCGCACCTCCTTCCGCTGATCCCCACGGAAGCTCTGTCGCCGGCCGTGGAGCCGCGCCTCCCTCCCACCCTCCCACCGGATCCACGGATGGAGCTTTCATGCAGTCTAGAAGGCCTGTCGGAGCCCCTGCTAGAGATGCGGGCAACATGGTGTAAGACTTGCTGGGTGGCTGGATAGAAAATTGAGACCATCACCTTGAGTGTCGTTAGCATAGGCATCAACGCGCCGATCCCACGCGCGTCTAATAAAAAGGTTATTTTTGCGGTACTTCTGGGTTAAACTCATTTTGCCAGTGATCAAAGTACTAGTCCATTGAGGAACATTGCCACGGGAAATGATCGAAATAGTGATGATACTGACAAAATTGCTCCTCCCCGCAGCAGATACTTGGGTCCACCGCGTCCTGAAACAATGCATCATCCAATGAGAAGCGTGTGTGGTTTAAGGGTAAAATCCATCGTTGCCATCGATGGGCTCCCGGTTCGAGTCCGGGCACACGCAATGTTTCTTTTTCACTTTTTGTAACTGCCGGGGTCCCTCTTCTTGTATGCGTGTGCTCTCGACGTGGGTGTCCGTCCACCCCCCTTGCTTTTTCTTCGTCCCCCCTGTTTTTTTGTCCCAACGCCCGATTTTTAAAGCCGCAGCCCGGGCGGGGAGTGTTTATCCGAGCTCTGCCAATTGCTTTTCTTGTTTTATTTTTAAAGCATTCGGGACGCTGGTTGTTCGGCGCCTCGATTAGGTGAGATGGTCCCTCAGTTAGTCGTGGTGGCTTTTGTGGCGTTGCTATCATCATGACCTCCCTCCATCATCGTATAAATAAGGCCAGGAAAGATGTTCCTCTGCAACCAACTGCTATTTTTACTTGCCTGCTGATTGGTGATTCCTCGATTGGAGGCTATGGTGTAATTCCGAGAAGGCTGCAGCGTTTTCCAAGTTCATCAGGACTTGGCTTTTTGTTCGGGATCACGTAGCTTCTTCCTTGCAGCCGACCTCCTGGCGATCAAAAGAAGGAGGAAAGATATTATTGACATTGCCTTGCAGCCAACCGGAGCGAGGGGCGCATGTGCTTCATGCACCCTCGGGTTTCTGGTGTCGTGCATTTCCCTTTCAGCTCCCATTGCGAAGCCATGACTACCCATCCCTGGCACGAACCGTCCAATGACTTACGCTGGTCCGTACCAAGGGGCCAAAAGCTAGTACCGATAGGATCACCACCACCGGAAGCGCCCAGCGCGCTAACATATTCTTGGAGCGCATGTCAGTGGCTACGGGCTCGAGCTGAAGTCGGTGCCTGCGCGCCTCGCCTACGCCACTCGCCTACGCCGTCCGGCGCCGCTGATAGTTGCCAATATTGCGATTTCGCGTTAGTGAGCCCCCCTCCCACAACATTCTTGATGTCTCCTGACATGCCGCAGCGAAGGGTGGCCGCGAGGTCATTGTCTTGGTATTGGCCTTGGAGTGGATTGTCGTCCATCCCCCGTCGGCTATGCGGAAGCAATGGGGGGTTTGCATCGAGAGGAGGACAGGTACTCGGAGAGGGTGCGGCTATCAGGGTTAACTGTTTCTCATGGGTATAAAAACCGTGCATCGGCCTGTAGTCCAGAGTCGTCCGGCTCCATGACCTCGTCTGCAGCAACAGCCTGTGGGATGTCAACACAATGCTCCTTGAACAGAATCCCTCGGTCTCTTTGAAGCTCGCCAACCTGGCGCTTCTCATCCTCTTCCTTGTCAGTTTGCCTCCAGCGTGCTCCCGCCCTGGGCTCATCGTCTGCCTGTCTTGGTACTGATAAAACTGTTGTGTCATGTAGGTCACAGCCGTCGCGTTGTCAAAGGCGATATACAATGTGTATTTCCACCCACTCGCTGGATACCCAGGGCCAGTTGCCTACCGCGCCTCTGAAATTCCTCGTCTCATTCAAGAGGTAGCTGGCAACACGGTCCATAAATGGACTGAACTGCACGCCAAGTACGGACCTGTCGTCCGCATTGCCCCTGGCCAGCTTTCATATATCAGCAATGATGCCTGGAGGGACATCTACGCAGCAAAAGGCACTGCCCAGTCTTTCGAACCGCCAAGGACGCCAGACCCCGCCAACGCCCAAGAGCAAGGGCTGCCCAGCTCAGGGAAGGCACGTCCGGCCAAGGCACCAAAGGCCAGGCAAATGTCCAGGGAAGAGATGACGTTCCCTGGCGACGACTTTGAGTTCTTCGGTGGCGATGCCAAGCCCATGATATCGTGCGACCCGGTCAACCACGCGCGGCACCGACGCATCATCGGGTCCGCCTTCTCAGACCCGGCCGTGCGGGCCTACGAGCCCGTCGTGACGGAGCGCACGACGCTTCTCCTCACACGGCTCGAGGAGCACTCGGCGAGGCAGCAGGCCGTGGACATTGTCGACTGGTTCAACTTTGCCATGTTCGACATCACGAGCACCTTGGTCTTTGGCCGCGGGCGCGGC